ATATCTGTCATCATCTTAGGGTATACAATCTACAAGAACACAAATAGTGGATCAGGTGATTTTTCTGGGAGAAATCACAAAACTAGGATACAGATTTTTCTGACTATTAATTCAATGGTTTTCTCCTTATATTATATTCCTTTATAAATGTTGTGTTAAATGTGCACAAATATATTAGGCAAATTGAAAAATAAAGGCTAAAAGAACTATGAAGATTTTCACTATATTCTTCAAGTTCTATTCTCAGTCTTTACTTGGTCAAGGTCTCTCTTGTGGGGGATCAGCCTGAGGTGAAATTCACATCCTCACTTCTCATTTCTGTGCCAAAGATTCCTATTTAGATTTTTCCAGCCTCCACCTGTCCTCTAGGCTCTAGCATTACATTTCTACTGCTTGGTGTATTTTCTTTGTTCCCCCAGAAAATCCCACATATTTAAATTGCACCATATATAACTAAGGCATCTTTAAAAAACAACTTGAAAAGCTGAAAGAAAAAGAAAACTTAATAGAAAGTATGGAGCACATTATATCTAAAGGGGGAAAAAAAAATCCCAAGCATGAGGCAGTGCTTTAAATAACACTAGTCCTCAAGTTATCTGCTTCTTCCCTGGTCACCAATCAGCATTCGAATTACTAATCTGGCTTCCCAGGAAGCTCCACACCTGTAAAAGTCGTTCTTCTCAAACTGAATGCATTTCTTAACATATGCTAAAGTTCAGTTGCTGTCTCCATGTTCAGAAATACTTTTATTCCACAATATTATATGAAATAATTATACATATTAATATTAAACACATCTATATATCTGGAATATATATCTACATATCTGGAATATAATTCCATATATATGTGTGTATAGATGTAAATTTATATAGATATAATATAGATATAATTTAATTATATATACACATGTTTGTGTATATATACACACACATAGATACACATATACACACACATATAAACACACACATATATATACACACACACATATAATTTTTTTCCTGGAAAAGCAACTAACATAGATTTTTGACCTCGTCTGAGGGATCAGAAAGATTTGTCTAAGGAAATGACATTTGAGACTGCACAAAGGTCTTGGGGTAAGAGAAAGGAAATGACTGTAAAAGAAATATTGTACCAAACCTGGTCTGGAACAAAACATTATTTATCTCTTGATGTAGTTTGTAATCTCCTTCACTGAATAAATGTGAATTGTGATAAAACATTTGGCAATCTTAAATACTTGTTTAATTATGAGATGATATTTGTCACAAGGAACTAGTCACACACTCACCTACCTGGCAGTCAAGCGTTTGTGGATGTTTAAATTTTCCTTTCTATTTTGTCTGATTTCCCTTTTCCATAGATGTCTCTATTTTAAGAGAAACTTTTAAATTGGCCTCCTAGAGACTTTTTACCATGCTACAAGATTATAACAAAACTTTGACATATGATCATAGCTACACTGTCTGGAAAGTTATAAAGTTATTGTTGTTATTGTTTCAACAATTACTTCTAGGTTCTACAATTAGGCTAATGTATCAAAATGCGGGTGGTGGACATGGTGATAAAGGAAGCCCAGGGATAAGAGAGATTCAATTTAAGTACGGAATTGTTGTCCTTTGGTGTTTGAGTCTTATTTTTAAAAGCAAAATACAAAAGAGATGAGAGAGATGAATCACATTTATATTTTGTAAAGATCAGTCTTTCTATATCACCATCAACAGAAATATCAAGCAAGCCACAAATATGAGCAACATATTTAATTTTTAAATTGTCAGTAGTAGCCACATTAAAAAAGTAAAAACCAGGCCAGGTGCAATGGCTCATGCCTGTAATCCTAGTACCTTTAGGGAGCCAAGGTGGGAGCATCTGTTGAGCCCAGGAGTTCGAGACCAGCCTGGGCGACATAGTGAGACCTTGTCTCTAAAAATAATTTTTTAAAAAATTACCCACCTGTGGTGGTATGTGCCTGTAGTCCCAGCTACTTAGAGGGGCTGAGGTGGGAGGATTGCTTGAGACTGGGAGGTCGAGGATGCAATGAGCAGTTATCATGACACTGTACTCCAGCCTGGGTTACAGAGTGAGGCTGTGTCTCAAAAAATAAAAATAAAAATAAAATATAAAAAGAATCAGATGAATTAATTTTAATATAGTTAATATAGCCTAATATATTGGAAATATTACTATTCTTACATGTAATCAGTGTAAAAAGTATTTACTCTGTTATCAACTTCAACTCTACCATACCATTCTGGAATATTAAGGACAAGTGTTAAAAATTTAAATGATGGAGAAAGGTTTATTTAATATTAGTAATTTATTTTGTTTTACAATTTCATGGGAAAAATAAAGAACTTGAGGACTTTCATTTTTTCCCTAAATAAGATTCTAGTTTAGAATGTGCTCTGTTTAATTTCTACGAGTATGTTTTCTTATTGATGAGTTCCTGGGTAATTGAGAGATAATGTATACTTTATGTAAAGAAGAGATCTTCTTAATGATTACTTATCCAAATCATATTCACTGAATTAAAAATAATAGTGAATTCACTAATGTAATATTTTACCTATGAATTGGTGTCCATCCCCAAAACAGAAAACAAAATAAAAACATAATTGAAACTTTTGTTTGTTTGTTTGAGACGGAGTCGCGCTCTGTCACTTAGGCTGGAGTGCAGTGGCGTGATCTCGGCTCACTGCAAGTTCCATCTCCCAGGTTCGAGTGATTCTCCTGCCTCAGCCTCCCGAGTAGCTGGGATTACAGGCGCATGCCACCACGCCTGGCTAATTGCTAATTTTTGTACTTTTAGTAGAAATAGGTTTCACCATGTTGGTCAGGATGGTCTCGAACTCCTGACCTCATGATCCACTCACCTCGGTCTCCCAAAGTACTGAGATTACAGATGTGAGCCACCGCACCCAGCCTGAAGCTTGCTTTTAAACATCACTGATCAAAGACATAGAACCAGATATTTTTAAGGTGGCCTATTGTTTATAAAAATAAAATTTTTCTTTTTTTAATGTGAAAATCCAAAGCCTGAAATATAGTACTTGAATTTCTCCAAATATAAACAAAATTCACTGGTATCATTGATTCTATCAGTATCTGAAAATATGTCCTGTACAACTATTCAGTGGACTATTCACTGGGCTTTTTACAGTTAACTTCATAGTAGAGAACTTAGGTATTCATCAAAGGAAGAAGTGGGGGGAACAAAGACTCAATTTTACTATTTTTTTTTTTTTTTTGAGACAGAGTCTCTCTCTGTTGCCAGGTTGGAGTGCAGTGCATGGTCTCGGCTCACTGCAACCCCTCTGCCTCCTAGGTTCAAGCGATTCTCCTGCCTCAGCCTCCCAAGTAGCTGGGATTACAGGCATGCGCCACCATGCCCGGCTAATTTTTGTATTTTTAATACAGATGGGGTTTCACCATGTTGGCCAGGCTGGTCTTGAACTCCTGACCTCGTGATCCACCTGCCTCAGCCTCCCAAAGTGTTGGGATTACAGACATGAGCCACCGCACCCGGCCAATTTTATTCAATTATTAAATCCTTTAGGACCATAGCCTGTGTCTCAATGGCTCTGATTCCTAAGAAAATTGCCTGGCACATATTAGGTATAATAACAGCTAACACTTATGTAACGTGTAAGCCAGGACAGAATCTTTTCTGAGTATTTTACATATTTTAAAATATTCATTATTCAAAACAATCTTATGAGTAGATACTATAATAATCTCATTTTATAGATGAGTAAATTGAATCCTGAGAATATTATATTACTGATATTATTCATTTATTTTAATGGCGGTGTTAATATAGAAGCTAACATTTATTGAAAGTTTCTTGAGTGACAGCTATTATTCTGATTACAGATCTAAACTCAATCCTCTCCATAGCCCTATGAGTAAGTACTATTTCTATCCCCATTTTATAAATCAGGAAATTAAGTTAAAATATATATTCTTTCAAAACCTTAAAATATATTTATTTACACCTTATTCTCAAGAATGTTTGAAAATAAAATAATAAATATTTATTATTGTTTTGTTACTTAATTGTTGTTAAAGCAGTTATAATTTATGGAGGGCTAGGCACCATTCAAGGAATTTACATGTAATAACCCATTTGATCTTCAGAGTAATCTGTGAGAGGTGGATACTATTATTATCATCACTTTATGGGTGAGGAAAATGAGGCGCAGAGTTTGAGAAAATTGGCCAAGGTCACACAAAGAATGACAATGTTGGGATTTATACTTAGGCAGCCTGAAATTGCATTTAGCAGAACTGTATTGAAGTTTCGGCTAAATTCAATGTTTGTCTGAGTAAGATGAATTGTGGAAATTTCCTTATCTCCCAAGTGAGTGAAGGAACAAATGCACTGATTATAATCCATTATGGATGATTGGTCTATTTTAACTAATACCTTTCTTTTTTGCTCTGTAACTATTCTAATTCAGAAGTTTTCCTGCTTTTAGAATTAAAATCCTACTTATACCATCACAAATATACATTCCAATTACTGAGGTTAAAGAGATTTCCAAGATACTTAAAAAGAAATTACAATTTTAAAGCGTTTTCTTTTTATAATCTTCTCTATTAAAATAAACAAACTACCACCCAAATAATTAGTTTGCTTTACAATAATCTTTAGAGCTAAAAGTTCAAAAGAGGATTTAATGGAATAAAAACAAAGAAACATTTATTGAGTTAATTTAACTCAGTGAATCTCAACATTTTATTTTATATTGTTATTTTATCATCGGGTATTTAGGAAAACTATTCAGAGTTTTCTAAAATATTCACTGAATAACTATCATCGAAAAAGATAAACCGATTACCTTTATTTACTTGAAAGCTGAAGCCCTTTTTATGTTTATACAATGGAAATTTGCATATAGTCCTATTGATAGCATATTAATAGTGCAAGCAACATTTTAAAGCTTGACACTTCTTGATGCAAAATTACTCATTTTTTTCCATACATAGAAACCACACCATGTTGTCAATAAATAATTCCACTTTAATGGCAAAGTAATAATTTAGACAGATACAGGGTGCACATTTGCAAAAAAATATATGCAAGCTGGTTTACAAGCTAGAGGAACAATAAACCAATAGAAAATACATCATCCAGTTAAGTCCATTGACACCAAGTACTTATTGTTGGGGCTTTACAAAGACTACAAAACTTTTCAGATGATTTATTTCACTGTTTCTGCCTATTTACATGATATGTTACATCAAAATGTACAAAATATAAAATGTATACAGACAAATGTTTCACAAACTAGTTTAAGTTGTAAACTAGGTGGACCTACTGGGATGTATTGCAGGAAATTCTGTTTATGCTCATGTTTGGACTGTGTTTCTCAAAATGGCAGGGAAAGATTAGCAATTTTCTTAGATCACATATTATACAAGGGCAACTAGTCACTCATCCAGCTACATATATTGATGTTTCACAACAGATTTGATCCATGTTTGAGGCTTCAAAGTCAGGGTGACAATTCTATGTGCATAAATTCAGTTCGGATTTCCCTTAGGGCAATAGCACCGTGTAAGGACCTGTTGACTTTGTGACACTCTGAAAACTGCACAGACATTTTGTGGTGGTGGTGGTGTTCTATAGCAACTGACCCATTGGTGGTCACAGAGAGTAGCACCAATTACACATCCTAAAGGTAACACATTTTCACACACTCATAGAAGAAGTCTATACCATGGCCTAGCCCTTGGGTTTCATAAACTTAAAACCTGTCCTTTGTGTATGGTGGTAACTTCTCCAATGACTGATCAGTTTTCATGCACTCTCTTTAAAGCCTGCCATGACAGATGTACTTTCAGACAGTTTTACTTATCCAAAAATATATTGGCTTCATGTACAGTTTTGAAGCATGCTCACTCTAGCACTGATAGCTCCTGCATAGTCATAACAACTGTAAATACAGGACAAACACACCAGATAATACAGCTTTGAGGGTTTGCATTCTGTATTTGTTTGCAATGTACAGGAAATCTCAGCAAGTGAAACACCTCTTAACACCAACAGGATAAAATACAATTTTGTTTGTGTTTGTTTCGATTTGTGCAAGTTTTAAAAATTATTATTTACAATACCTACCCAGTAGACTGTGCAAATCTAACCTTCTTTTACAGTATAAACGCTTCCTCTTCCACAGTGACCTTACCGCTTCAGTGTTCTTTAATGCTGAATTTCTCATGTACAACGATAGCAATCAAAACAACATGCGTCAGAACTAATTTAAAAAAACAAGAACAATAGGGAAGGAAAGCCGAATAGTTGTGCTCATGCTGCATCTAGTGCTTCCAGCCCTGCTGGATAATAGTTCAAAATCTCCTGCCTTCTGAAACTCTTTCACTTAGAACTGGATGGAATTTCGCCACGTCTTAGGTTTTAAGTGACGGTCAAAGAGCATTTCTGGGTTATTTTAATATTTTGGAGGATAGGCAAAGCGATCTATTCACAAGGCTAAAAATACTGATCTTTCTCCTATCCATTTCTTCAAAAAAAAAAAAAAAAAGAGAGAGAGAAAGATATATAGAGATGAGGCTACTGTGTTAACTGGTGTTGCTTGGTTGTAAATGAAAAGACAGTGGAAATTACTAATGGTTTAGGATTTAAACCAACTGTTAAACTGTCGTAGAAATCTGTTTTAAGGCAGTGAGACAGCACCATAGGAAATTTTCCTTCTTTCACTGAAAAGGCTCAAACAAATAAAGCCCTAAAAAAGCCTTTTATCAGTGTTGACTAATAATTGGTATAAAACTCTTGTTAAGGGAGTGGGAAGGTGGTTTAAAAAGACCACTGTGGTAAAAACAACCTTATAAAACCAGTGACTCATTACTAAAAAGTTGGTGGAGCACATCATGAGAACGTGGCAGTTAGAATTAAATTGGCACTTCTCCAGTTTGCCACAGTAGTGTTTTTCTGGTGGTTGCACAATTCCATTTGTGCTTATGGAGGACTGGCCTCTTGGATTTGTTCTGGAATGGGGGTGAGCGCACAACACAAACACTACTGAAGCCCTGTGACCAGCACCATGTGGCACAAAGGAGGTTGGACGGATCAGAAAGATGGACCCTGCCTGGGGAGAACAGCCCCTCAGAGGAAACAAAAGGAAGGGACAAAAAATGGTCTGCATTGTAAACTTTTAAAGAGGAAACAAAGAAAGTCCAGTTTGGCTATCCCATGTGCAATCTATTCAGTTGCCCTGTCATTAGGGTCCTTTCCAGTTGAGTAATGGAGCCTTCTATTACTCCACAGATATAAAAAATGCTTAGAAATAAACTAAAGTTAAGCTTCCATTGCAATTTAGCATCTTGGCGGTTCAGACTTAGTTCTGCTGCCTCCTTGGAGACCACAACTCTGGGTCAGGGCCCTTGACAGGGTGCTTTTATACTGGCAGTGGTTTAGTGAGAATATCTTTCTTTTGAAACATTTTTTTAAAAGCAGAGTCTTTTCCCCTAACTTTTTTCACCCTCTAGAGGGTAGATTCAAGAGATGAATCCAAAACGTCTTCATGGTGGCTGGTGCTTTCGCTGTCGCAGCTTTGTGTGCTCGAGTAATTGGCTGCTTCTTGGAGTTTCATTAGCATATTCATCTGAAGAAAGAAAAAAAGACATCGATGTAGGCAATGATGCATTGAGTAAGCCAGCCCATAAAAAACAAGGCCCTGAGCCACACCGAAGAGCTGTCTTATGCCATCCAAGTGACACAGGAAAATAATTTTAGATTTTTTACTCATTGCCCCTGGCTCCTACGCTGTTTCTCCCAAACATGACTACAACACCAAACCATAAGGACAAAATAGGGCCTCTAGATAACTCTTTTATTTGGGGTTGTGAATGAATACTGCTCCAGCAGGGAGACTGGAAAGGAAACTGTATCACAGCTGGACATCTGGGTTCGTTGCTGGAAAGTACGCCAAGCTTCCCAGTTTTTTGGCTGGGAGAAGCAGAAAGCATTGAATGGCAACTGAAAGTCGTGAATGTTCATACACACACAGACGCACACAGAGGCACACATGCACCATCCCTTGAGAGAAGGAGGGGATGGAGAGGAATGAAGCCAGCTGCTGCACACAAGCACACCATCTGCTGTTTAGGAGCTGACCTCGGGAGGAGGTGACTGAATGAAGCGGACCATGAGTGTTTGAAGAGGGAGAAGGAAAGAATTACTGTCAAGTTTGTGTTGTTGAATTTCTGGCTGAAATATGATTGATATATCACTGAAAACAAAAACCATCATCTGGAACAATAGCGGCTGTCTCAAGTTTCCCAGCCTTACAGGAGAATGGTAATGTTTGTTCTAGTAAAAGGGACATATGCATGAAAGCACCTGGGGAGAAAGGCAGCTAGCATTTGCATCTATTATAAAATAAAGAGCAGTCACCTTGCTTGAGTTTTGATAGATCTGGACCTCCACTTTTGGACTTTTTTTTTTTTTTTTTTTTTTTTTGAAAAAAGACTGTTAAAGGCAAATTGTGAATAAATGGTTCAATGATTTTAGAAAGCACAGAAAAATTGGCACATGTCTTTATGACGGTAATGGACTTGTTTTCTTATCAAGGGTTTTGATAAATTGTAACAATTTTTATATTATCTAATGCATACTAATTTTATTATTCTATAATAAAAAGGTTTTTTTTGTTTTTTTTTTCCAACTTACAGAAATAGAAAGGAGAAATCTAAAAAATGATTCCTTGGTCACACGTTAAGCTATGCATGCTTGTGTGCTCAGTATAAAATGTGTGCTTGATAAAGGCTTGTGAAATAAATGATAAACTGGTAATCACCAATTTCAGCAATAATTCTTTTCTGACAAAGAGACTACAGTTATAGCATAGTTTGAAGTCATTTTAATAGTCCTCAGGACAATATGTTTTAACATAATTTTCAATCTAACTCTCTTAATTTATTAAATAAGCTACATAAGGTTATGAAATAAAAGTAGTTGGTGATAACTTTTTAAACCCAGTAAGCCAAAAAGTCAAATGTCTCCTTCAGCATAGTTTCTCTCCTACTCTCCTCTCTCTCTCTCTCACCCACACTCCCACCTTCCTACCTTCATGTCCATTCATATTCCTTCTCCCATATCAATCTGTCACTCATTAGCAGCTGCCTGTATGTTCAAGCATTTGGGTGAAACTGATCCGTAAAATAAAACTGAGTTTTGAGCACTCTAGTAATTTAGTAAGAGTAGAAATGATAAATGATATCTTTTTTTTAAAAGATACAATTGTATCTTAAGCACAAAAGTTTAAAATCACTTGAATGCTGGATGTTGTAAAAGTTTCATTGTGTAATAGTATTGTCATTAAAGTCTTAATTTTTAAAAATGGTGCCATATAGTAAATATGTTCCATTATAATACATTCCACATCTCAGATTCATAATAAATATATAAAGTGGGATTTACTTTGCCTAGTATTATTTTGTGCATTCAAATCAAGGGAGATTACAAGAGAAGATTATGTATTATTTAGTCATTATTGTGATACATCACAATTCTCCAAAAAGTATTAATATTTTTCCTCTCTTCTTCCCCACTTCTTCCCCACACTCACTGCGATGGTTTGCATGTGATATGCCCCTTCCAAAACTCTTGTGGAAATTTTTTTTTTTTTTTTTTTTTTTTGAGACGGAGTCTCCCTGGGTGTCGCCCAGGCTGGAGTGCAGTGGCCGGATCTCAGCTCACTGCAAGCTCCGCCTCCCGGGTTTGTGCCATTCTCCTGCCTCAGACTCCCGAGTAGCTGGGACTACAGGCGCCCGCCTCCTTGCCCGGCTAGTTTTTTGTATTTTTTAGTAGAGACGGTGTTTCACTGTGTTAGCCAGGATGGTCTCGATCTCCTGACCTCATGATCCGCCCGTCTTGGCCTCCCAAAGTGCTGGGATTACAGGCTTGAGCCACCGCGCCCTGCTCTTGTGGAAATTTTATCCCCACGGTGGCAGTGTTGGGATGTGAGTCCTAGTAGGAGGTGTTGAATCACGGGGATGGATTCCTCATGAACAGATTAATGGCATTCTGGTTAGAGGTCACTGTGTTCTCACTCTGGAGGGAATGGATTAGTTCCTGTGCGAGAGCAGGTTATTAAAGAGTCTGGCTTCTTCTCTCACCATGTGGCCTCTCTGCACACTCCCACTCCTCTTCCACTTCCCACTATAAGTTCATGAAGCATGAGGCCCTCACCAGATGCAGCTGCCCAATCCTGGACTTTCCAGCCACCAAAACGATGAGCCAAATGAATCTCTTTTCTTTACAAATTGCCCAGCCTCAAATAGTCTGTTATAGCAACACTAAATGGAATAGGATATCTATAGTCATAAATTTAGTGTTTATCATTTCTAACACCTTGATCAAGTCCTTATCATCACTGTTACTTACAAATCTGCTAAGCTTCCAGATTCCATCCTATCTCCTTCAATCTGCCCTCTCTCTACTCTGTTACTAAAGTGATCTTTAGAAACTGCAGATCTAACTAGGTAAATCATGGCTCAGACACCTTTGATGGTTCTCCACTGTCTCTGTGATAAAGTTTTAACTTCCTGCAATGATAAACAAAGCTTAGCATGATCTAGCAACTGTATACTTCTATAGTTTTAATTCCTACTGCCAACTGGTGTGTAGTTCCCTAAACTCATCATTTCTATTATACTGTCATCTAATGTTTCACATTCTATTTCTTTAATTTTGGTTGTTTTCCTCCAACCATATGGTGAACTCCTATTAATCATTCAAGATCCAGCTCAAGCATCTCCTCTGTAAAGCTTTATTCTAACTGCTTCCTCTATGAACTCACAATTTTACCTAATATGTGCCTCCATCATGTTACTGCAGTTTATATAGTTAGCAGTGTCTCTTCGCTACCTGATTTTAAGCTTCTTGAGATCAGAAATGATACTGTAGTTATCTCCTGATCACAAGGTCTTAGCATTAAATACTTATTAACATTCGCTTTGTTGTTAATGGTGAATACACACTGTATTTTTTAAATAATGTGAGATATACCAAAAACTTGCATCCTTGTTCAGATTCAAAAAGTCTCTCTCCTATCTTCTTCTGTTTCTTCGCTATACTCATTGCTATGGGGATTTCTGACACTAAATAGTGGATGTTTTCTAGGATTTCTGATTTAGAATGGACTGAAAATATATGTTGGCTTCATGCTAGTAATTACAGAAATATATAGAAATAAAAACAGATAGATCATCACCAGCCTGACCAACATAGAGACATAGAGAAACCCCGTCTTTATTAAAAATACAAAATCAGTCAGGCATGGTGGTGCATGCCTGTAATCCCAGCTACTCTGGAGGCTGAGGCAGGAGAATTGCTTGAACCTGGGAGGCGGAGGTTGCGGTGCGTCGAGATCGTGTCATTGTCCTCCAGCCTGGGCAATGAGAATGAAACTCCGTGTCAAAAAAAAAAAAAAAAAAAAAAAAAAAAAAAAAAAAAAAAAAAAAAGCAAGGAAGCAAGCAAGAAAGCAATCAAGAAAAATAGATTGATATATTTATTTTTTAAAACCAGAGAAAGCCTGCCAAATATTTAGTTTTAGATGATGTCTTTTACCATTTAGCATGCAAGACCTCACAACTCCCTGTTTCTTAAGATGTTTAATAGAGCAGCAGGTTAGGAACCAGGAATTTTTTTTACCCCAATTCTCATGCCAGAATGGGAAACCCTAAATTTGTTTCCTGTCCTAGAAGACAAGTGCATTCAGAACCAGGAAAAAAAGTGCTTTATGGGGTGAGCTGACCTGGACTATTAGAACCGGGAAAGTTGAGGGCATTTCCTAGGGGTTTCATACTCTAAAACTGAGAACAAATCTTATAAACACCTCTCCTTATAAAACAGACATGTTATATAAAAACTGCAGAGGTAGGGCTGGAATTTTTGAGGAATTCAGATTAAATAATCCATACTCATATTCTAAAGCTTATGTTTACTCTATTAATCATTCATTCAGCAATGATTTAGTGTATGCTCACAATTATGCTGGATCCAAACCAATTTCATCACCACTGTTGATTCCTAACTACGAATCATCTAAAAGGTCAGGTACCATGTAATAAAAATACAAGTCTGGGCTCTTAAGGAATATATCACCTAGATCAGAAATCAGCAGGAAATTTCTGGAATCTAAGTAGGTCTATGTATATACTTCAGTGATTTTATGAAACTCTTAAAATTGTATGCCACATTTTCAGTGTGTATGCATTTTGCTGGGGAGAGGATCTTGAAAGTTTATCAGATTTTCCACAAGAAACTCCCAAAATGTTCAGCTGAGATGATGATGATGACGTGTGTGTGTCAGGGTTGTTGGTGTAAGAGTATTCCCTAAAATATCAAGTAATTTTATGTCCTCAGGTATAGTCATAGGTTATGATTTTTGATTATTTATGTTTTGTGCTTGTTTGAGTTAAGAAACGTAATGAATTTTACTTCAGTATCTTTTCTTTCTGTATTAGTTGTAAAAGTCCAATAAGCTCTTTAGTCATAGAAGGGTGAGAACACTTCACATTTGATACCAATATATTGAAAGTAATCTGTAAAAATAAAAAATAGATACATAAAAAGCATTTTTTCCTAATAATACTACATACTTAATATTTTCAGAATATTCATACTTTAGAGTTTTACAGACTTTTACTTCAATTATTCCACTATTTTAAAAAGTAAATAAAACATAACTTCCATTTGACTTCCAAGTTGGTTTATCCTTCGCTACAGTAGGCAACAGAAGACCCACTCTATAAAATTAGTCAGGTTAGCTGATATAGCAAAATATTGTTTAGTTCTCCATAAGTACATTATACCATAGTTTTTTGTTTTTCTATAAGAACAAAATTGAATTTTCCCTTAAATGCCTATTGAATCATAATATAGAAAATTATATTTAAATAAATATATATTAAATTAAAAAATTATATACACAATTTAATGGATAATAAGAGAAAAATTATAGTCTAGGAGTTCATTCTGGTTATAATGTTTCTTGTTTCTTTTTTAAGCATACAAGCTTGGTTTTCACTTTAAGATTTTCATCCACGGAAAGCAGACCAAAGATAACAGGGTTAAAACTGTTCCAAATATTGCCGAGGATAACAAATGTCTTTGCTAGAAATGCCTAAGTATTAATGACTATACACCGCAGTCAAGATTACATAGGAAAAAACGAACATCTGATTCTTACCAGGGGATCTCCTTCTGTGTCAGTGTGAGGAATGTGCTTTGAGGTTGTGGCTTCCTTAGTGGATGTGCAGCCTTCATACCCAACGTCTTCTGGTCGCAGCTGAAGTAAGGCTGGGCTCTCCTGAGGCAGAGATGCTGAGCTCCATGGATATGTGTCAAGCACCCACTTTGAAGGGTCTTCCCATGGTGTGCGTTTCCCATACATCTAAAAGTTGACCATGTGTTTAGCATATATAAAACACATTTCTATTCAGTAAAAAAGGGGACTACTAGTTGGATGTGATTTTTTGACATATTGAGTTCTTAAGGGACTTTCAAGAGAATTAAGTATTTGCATACAATTTTCCAGATTTAAAACATGTAACTGTCTACACAGCTCACTTTAAACTTGAAAGCTAGACAAAATAAAGCTGAATATTTGGAATAGATGTCAGCTTTTGGGAAAGAATATACAGGAGGTTTATTATAAATAAACATAGAAATGACTGCCCACATTTACTTTTACTAGTAATTTGACAAACCAAGAGAAAGCTAAAGGTTGAAAAATAAAAGCTTCAATTATGGAAGATTTTTAAAAATATGCTTGACGTTAAGTAGAGGTGTCTACTAAAGTGCACCTTGGAAAGATGGAAATAAAAGAAAAGGAACTTATTTTTTTCTGCCTAATTCACTCTACTCAAACTTTCTTTTAGAGTAAGAATACTTTCTCTGATAACAATTTTCCCATGATCAACTTGCTCTTTAATCCCATTGCTTTCTGTAAAAACTCTTTTTAGATGTTTGTGTTTCAGGCTACTAGTACAAGAGGATAAAAAATAGGAAACTGAGTTATCAGCTTTGCAAGAACCCTTGTTGTGCAATTTGCCCAATAAGGAAGAGCTGATATAGCTTGGGTCGAGTACTGGCAGTGGAACAGAAGAATTAGATAAATCCAAGGGATGTTAAACATTTTTAAGCTGGAAGCAAAGCTGAATCCAAATCCAAATCCAAGCCCTTCAGAAAGGGCACCCTGAAGAGAAGAAATGAGACATTATTTAAAAAAAAAAAAAGTGTAATATTACAAGGGCACAGAAAAAAAGTGAAAATTAAGAGAAGGGGGCAGTAACATAGGGACACTTGTTTCTTAAATTACTTTCCTTCCCCATTTGACTTGCTGGACAATCCTGGTTAGCAGGTGCGTATTTGGTCTCAGATGACATACTTCGGTTTGTTGTTAGATGGTTGTTTTGTATAGTTTGTTTTGGTTCAGTAAAGACAAAAGGGAAAATGGTGGACATTAACACCATAAAAACTTCATGGACTACCTTGGAGTTTTATTTTGAGTTTCTTCTGGAGAAGTTGGACTCACCCAAAATAAAAGGGAGTGTAGGTACTGATATCTGTGCATTTCCTTAGGAGATGATAACAGAGGTAACAATCATTATACCTTTTTTTTTTTTTTTTTTTTTTTGAGACAGAGTCTTTCTCTGTCGCCCAGGCTGGAGTGCAGTGGCACGATCTTGGCTCACTACAAGCTCTGCCTCCCAGGTTCACGCCATTCTCCTGCCTCAGCCTCCCAAGTAGCTGGAATTACAGGCGCCTGCCACCACGCCTGGCTAATTTTTTGTATTTTTAGTAGAGACAGGGTTTCACCGTGTTAGCCAGGATGGTCTTGGTCTCCTGACCTTGTGATTCGCCTGCCTCAGCCTCCCAAAGTACTGGGACTACAGGTGGGAGCCACCGTGCCCGGCCACTTTTTTTTTTTCTTTCTTTCTTTCTTTTTTTAAATAGTTATCTCGTTTTAGAGCAAAAATTTCCTCTCAGTTATAAACTTACTTTATAGATGTAATGTATAGCATGCTACACAACTTAAACCAATTGAAGAAAAACGTGTATAATTCTTGGAAAGCTTAATTATGTTTATTTGTTTGTTTTAATGTAAGTCTAGAATCAACTAATTCTAGGTTTTCAAAGAACCAGCCAGGACAGCAAAATTGGAAGAGACCAATGAAAAGCTAAATGGGCCAAACACTATTTCCGAGTAAGATACATATTGTAGAAAAAGAATTGAACAAAGAGAAATCTAAATATTCAGAATGAGATGAATTGATAGCTTTTTAAGAAAGAATCGCCAGAATAAAAATCAAAATCCACTGTATCACCAACATCTTTTCCAACTAGAACATCTGGCAGAGTGCATTCCCCATAAGATTTTTCACCAAAAAAATCAGCCTTCATCTGAAGAGATTGTTTTATTACTCTAAACTTTGAGTGTCATTTTTGCTCCCAGGCTTTGTTTCTCCACTTCTCTCTCCAATCCAAGATTCTTTGTTGCCAGTAGATCCTTGGGAATGGATCATGACAGATATGCTTCCTTTGCTTCTTGCTCCCCTAGAAATATTTTCAGCTGATAGACTTTTCTGGCCCAGCACAGTCTTCAATAGCAATGAAAACTGTCTACCCACCAAAGGATTTTCCAATTTTTCCCTTCCCAGGTGTTGGATTCCCCTCCCTCAATAAGCCCTAAATCACGGTTGATTCATCTTTCACACTAACCTACTACTAAACATCCTGAACCTTAGCAAGAAATGAGACATTTTTATCCCTCTTCAAAAATAATTTTGAAATATCTCTCAGTTTCAGTTTGAGAAACTAATCCTTCAGTGATTATACTTTTGCCCAAATGGAAACTTTATAGAATTATAATTCTCCAAATAATGTTCTATAAATAATATTTATTTAAATATGAAAACAAGAACCCATGCACCTTTTGAAATAAGATCTAAGGATGCTAAGCATTTTAGATATTATCATTTCAGGGTTTTTACAAAGATTCCTTTGCTTTCTATCTATTAGTAAGCAAATATTAAATGAGGAGGAATTTATTGATAAATACTTAGATAATGGTTTATTAAAACCAAAACCATAGCTAGAGAACAAATAATTATCTAAATATTAACTTTGAAATTATGAGTTCTAAAATTTTCATAAAATGATTTTTTTTGTACAAATAATCAACATTGAAAGAGTCAACTTACATCCTAGGTAGTTTAATAGTTTTAGAAGAATTCTGAAACACAATATGTTATACTTGAAAAATAAAAACATTTGTATAAGCTTTTATTTTGTTGGAGGCACTTGCTTGGGATAGATTGGCTCATACCCTTAAAAGTGTTAAATTTGATTATTTAAATCTAGAGTAGAACCAATCAATAGCATTATTTAGGATCTTAGCTTTGTCTCTGAGGTTTCAGAGTATCCTCATAAAATTCATCATGTTCACCAGAACTATCATTTTAGTTCTGAATACTGCCATTCCATTCTACTAGATGAAGAGAGCATGATAGTAAAAGGGAGTAAAAGAGGCAAAATAGATGGACAATTTTTTAGATAGTAAAATAAAGACAACACAGTATTATACATGATAGAATGTGGAAAACATAAACTATATCTTAATTCTAGTAGTAGTTGTAAAAACCAGAAATAGAGATGTCTTGGCTGAGTTATTGAAAAGGAGATGAGATGCTTCCTCAATCGAGTGATTATGTTAAATAAATTTTAAAGAGTTTTATAATTCTACAATTTCAAATCAAACTTAAGGAAACAGCAATACTTATGGGAAAATGACATGTATTTTGTTGGAGAAATAGGGATTTCTTTTAGTGATACATTTTCATTTTTTAGTTAGGAAAAAAGAGAAGGGCCTTGGTTGCAGGACCTCAAGATATAAGGCACATGAGAGGAAGAGCAAAGAAGCTGTGAAACCAATATGTCATAGATCAAAAGACCAACTGACTCTCTTAGAATTTAGAGTACTCCCTCCAAAATAGTAAAGGACCCTGCAAGTGATATTAAAGGGCTTCCAACAATGAAGTATACTAAAAACAGGAAACTTATAAGCAAAAGCTACTTGTTAAAAATTATGTTAATAAAAGGAAAAAACAATTGCAGCCTGAGCAACCTGGTGAGACCATGTCTCTAAAATAATAATAATAACAATAAAAGTAACTGAGAGTGGTGGTGTGTGCCTATACTCCCATCTACTTGAAAAGCCTCATCACTTGAGCCTAAAAGTTTGAGACTGCAGTCAGCCATGGTTGTACCACTGCACACTGACCTGAGTGACAGAGTGAGACCCTCCCTGTCTCAAAAAAAAAGAAGAGAAAGAGAGAGAGAGAGAGAGAGAGACAGAGAGAGAGAGGGGGAGAGAGAGAGAGATGGGGGAGTGGGAGAGGGAGGGAGGGAGGAAAGAAGGAAGGAAGGAAGGAACGAAAGAAGGAAGGAAGGAAGGAAAAGATAAAGGAAATTATATGATAAGAGTATAAATGGTCAAGGCTCATGTAAACATGGCTGTGTCATAAGATGTAGAACTGTGCAATTAATTAGCTATCTACTAAAAACAATCTGTAAACATCCATGACAACCATTTGGACTTAAATGTGTAGTTGTTGTAATAACTGTGCCTTTTCTTTCTCTTACAAATTTGTTCCCAGAACAGGCAAAATATTACAAACTATTTGCTCTTGAAAACTTCATTGCTCTATTTATATAGTTCATATCTTTAGCTTTCTGCATAAATACCCAGATTTTCTTTTGCTTTTAAAATAATTTTTTTGTTTTTTTTTTAAAATAGTAATGAAAATTGAGTACTATACCTGAAGACCCTCTCTCACTGCCTCCAGAATATAAGGTACTAAAGAATAGTTCCAGAGATCCATGAACCACACTCTAGAACCTTCTACATCCATGGGGCAAGGAAGGAAAAGTCGGGGACCTGAGAAGAAACAAATAACAAAATATTTTAAGAGTTATATTTAATAATCTAAACACATATCGAGACACCATTTTGGAATATAATATATTTCTTGCAAAATTCCTAGAAAATTATATTATTGGCCAGCTTAATTATTATTAAAGCATGTTTACTGAAGACCCAATATCCTAGCCTCTTCTATCTTTTTACAATAAATATTGATCTACGACACAATATATTAGAGTTAGGAGAAATCATAAAAGTCATAATCCAGTTATCCTGTTTCATTTTACAAGCAACAAAGCTGTGCTGAAATGAATTGCCAAATATAAAACACGTCATTATTTGCAGCATTGGGAACTGGCATGAGTGTTCTGGTCCCAGTGTAGAATTCTTCTTCCTAATCTAAACTGTGTTTACAGTGAGTACATTTTTATGATGCATAACAATGTGAAAGAGACTTCTGTACATGCAATTAAAGGAGGAATCCAAATGTAAATATCTTTATGCAAACTAAAAGAGAAATAACTCAGTTGTGTCTTCATGAAAAACACAAAACACCTAAATTATCTACAAAGCATCTAAATTATCTCTAACTAAAATCTTTCCTCACAACTTTATTTGACATGAGCTATTTAGCCACATTTGTTTTTTAGCATAAAACGTATCCTAAATTGATACTCTTCATTTCCAGTGATTATCTGATTTTTAGATATTTGTCCATAGTGAACTTATTTAATCTCAGTAATATTTTAGTAAAACATAACTGTCAGACAAAGTGGATTTAATTGGAGATACAAAGAAGAAGAAAGTAAACTTTCAGAAGGGAAAAAAATAAATCTTTGGAAGCTTGAAAAAACATTAGATTTGCTCTTATTTTCTACCATCCAATCTGGCCATCTTTACCAAGTACTGTTAGTTCCTGGAAAATGACATATTATAATTTTGGAACTCACCAATGGTAACGTCAGAAGAACTGTGTGTTTCCAAAAAACTGTTGAGATGATGCCACGTCTTAGGAATCCAATCTATAATTTTGACTAGGTCATTATTGCGAATGTTCCTTTCAATTTCTATCTCTATGAGTTTTCTTCGAAGATATCTGCCTAAAAAGCCTTTCACTGGTTCTGTATGATTTGCACATAATACCCACCTACAAAAAGAAAAAAAATCAGAATTTTTTATATAAATTAAATTTTACATTCATAGTGATTCTTTATCATTATTATTTATTTATTCATAATTACTTTCCAATAGAAAGTAATAATGTTCCCATTTCAATTGGTGGCTACATTTTAATGATCAAAGGTGTTAGGAGGTCTACTAGCATGAGAACTATAATGTAGCTAACTCTACTTTTTGAGCTAAAAAGAAGCTCATGTGCGTCAGAAGTGAGGGGGAGTCTACATGCTGAACACCCTTCTGTAGGAGAATCACAAATCCTGAAATAGCAACTCTCTTCACATTTCTCACACTTAGAAGGAATATGCTCTACTTTAACCAGGGACACAGTGAACAGAAAAAACATTTACTTTTCTTTTTTCTTTCCTTTTGTTTTGTTTTGTTTAAAGAAACACATCTGATTACAGGTTGAAGATCATGAAATGTTCGCTTGAGAAAGAGTGTCAGAAGTGAGAATTATTTTCACACCACAGGTCATCTCTGGCAAGATTTGTAAAAGTACAAGTGGAAAAACAACCCCCAAAAACAAACAGAAAGAAACAATGCCAACCCCCTCCCCTGCCCACACACATACACACACACCAAAAAACAAAACAAAACAAAATCTTCCACTTAACTTTACCTGAAATTGTGATGCAGCTCTAGATTTGGTGATGAAGAAACTCCCTGATTCATTGTTCCAATAATATATGGACTAGAAAAAAAATAAAAAGAAAATTTTAATTTACTGGAGGTAAAAGTGATTAATTTGTTAAAATTATCTTAGAAAACTACTAGGATAGATATGGATTATTCCATTTCAATATTTGCCTTTTAAAGGGTAATTCTGTAATGGAAAATGACAAAGATTACTGGATTAGAAATTAACACTTGAGTTTCTAATTCCAGCTCTGGGATCAAGGCAAGGCATTTTCTCTCTCTGAGCCTGAGTATATTTGTAATTTACATTATTTGAGTAAAGAGTTTAGTTAGTATAATCATAGGGGTTTTGTCCCAGTCTAACATCTTATAATGCTTATGATAAAGTTCATTCATTTTTACTATTTTAATATTTCAGTTATGTTAAAGATTATTAATACTGTGAGAAAATTTGTATTCTTTCAATGCTTATTTTATGCTGATCTGTTTGTAACTTCAAAAAAATCTCTAGCAGAGATAATTGGAATATTTTCCACTATTAAAACTAATTATTTTATGTTGATATTCTTATATGTCCTTTCTTTAGAGGCCATGCCACAATGAATCTTTAGTGGGTTTTAAGATTTTTTAATACCTTATTTTAACCTTTCCTTTTATTGTAAATAGTTAAAATCATACTCATTAATAGAGGGAGCTATATCTGAATGTATTAAGTTTATCTCTATAGAAAGGTTGAATTTAAACTTTGATATGAACTGAGAATGAAACCAGAGCTCTAAAGGCTCCCTTTAGTTTTTAATTTCTATGATTAAAACTATTCCATCATTGATGGTGGTTTCCCAATTGTTCATCATGTCTGCAGAAGCTAACATCATCAAGGAAGTACTGTTTCCATAAAAGTGCCTGGGATATGGTTGTTGAATGAATACATAGATATTCTAAGGAATGCATATGGAGTCTTTAAAACTATGGTATATTATTAAAGAGGGTTTCTCAAATTAATGGCAGCCATTTTAAGTCTAAAAATAATAGCTACTCGGGTAGTTCATATGTTAATTAGCTGGAGTTAATCATTCTACAGTGCACATCTACTTCAGAACATCATGGTTTACACAATCAATATGCACAGTTTTATCTGTCAATTTAAAAAATAAAAATTAAGGCTGGGCACGGTGGCTTAAGCCTATAATCCCAGCACTTTGGGAGGCCGAGACGGGCAGATCACGAGGTCAGGAGATCGAGACCATCCTGGCTAATATGGGGAAACCCCGTCTCTACTAAAAAAAAATACAAAAAACTAGCCGGGCCTCTACTAAAAAAAATACAAAAAACTAGCCGGGCGAGGTGGCGGGCGCCTGTAGTCCCAGCTACTCGGGAGGCTGCTGAGGCAGGAGAATGGCGTAAACCCGGGAGGTGGAGCTTGCAGTGAGCTGAGATCCGGCCACTGCACTCCAGCCTGGCCGACAGAGCGAGACTCCATCTCAAAAAAAAATAAATTAAATAAATAAATAAATAAATAAATAAATAAAAATTAAATATTAAGGAAATCTAAAAAATTAAAAAACAAAATGCATACAGGCACAAGAAAGCACATTTGATGATAATTATTTCCTATCTCATTATTCAAAATATTTGATAAGCATACCATTTGTTGTATTTACAATTGAGAAAACCATTGAAGATATCACTCAGAGAGCCCACATGATGAAGATTATCGAGAATTATTACAACTGGGAGCTCCACTCCATTATTATCAGCACTGCACTGTTCAGCCAGGTTAGCTAGATATTGTTGCAATTCCTTTTAAAAAATGAAGAAAACAGATACGTCAATGATAAATTTATACTAATGGCAAGCAGTTAATATTTTAGAAATAGCATGCTTTGTCCTCTATTCAGTTTCTTTCATTAAAGTCATAGATTATTCAACTGATGTAAAATCTTTCTCTACAAATCAAAAACCATATATTGCTGACAGAATAGTTTTTTAAATAAAAGTGAGAAAAAGGAAAGCAATAGAAGATCCAGTACCAAACACCTGCAGCAAATATAAAAGTATAAACAAGAAGGCATATTTCTCAGTGGTTTTCTCCCTGAAAGAAAAGCCAAAATGAGTTCTTAATATGAACTCTTATGATAAACCATACATATTGAGATTTTATTCTGAGTTTTGGTATTCAATGATAAAAGTAAATTTTAGCAACCTTAATATTTCAAGTATGAACTAAATTCAAAATGGCACTTCTGAGGTTCCACTAATATTTTTAGTATGTTAATTCTAATTCAAGTAGATGGGGTATATCTAAAAATACAGCCATAGGACCTTGATAAAAGTACACTTATTATTTATTTATAATCTGCATGCAATTGTTGTAATTTTAAACAAATACAAAATTAGTTATATTTCACCTGGTGAAATAAAACATTAGCATTTAGCATCTCTTGAGTTTCTTGGTTCTTTTACAGGTATTATTCCTGTCTAATAGCTTTTAATCTAAATATGATAACCAGTTTGCTGATTGACTGCTCTCACAGATGGGTTGGCCAGGAACATAATTAGGTTTCCTAAAATTATCCTAATCAGTAAGAACATTTCCATAATATTTGCATATTTACAATGACATTTCCAATTTGCAAATCGTGCTCAGGGTTATAAAACAATTCCACGATTCTGGTTCTGGCAGCCAGGTAAATATGTGAATTCCTCACTCTAGATGCAACCTCTGTCTGTAACACCACTGCTGAAATAAAAGTAGGAGATAAAGCACAGGCCAGGATTTTGAGGCATTTAGTAAGTTTTATTTATGTTCAAATATAAAAATGTATTAAAGAAATAAAGTACTATTTGTTTTCTATTGAGCTAGACACATAAAATAAATCTTGCCTAAGACAGAAAATGCAGAAAAATATGTTTAAAACTGTTGAATATTCTGGAGAATTCTATTTACTTTAAAAGAAAAAATAAAATTTATGTCAGTAATTTAGCTACATTAAGTCATTCATTTGTTTATGAAATATTCACTGTCTATCTGCTGCATTCATAGCCTTAGACCAAGCCCTGGGTATACAAAAATAGCGAAGTCTGTTTCCTGCTATCAATGGACTGTAAGTTGGTTTAACATTTATTATGAACTACATCAAGTGCTTTTCTGGACATGGGGACTACAAAGGGTAATCAGGCTGTTTTCCCCGTAAGCTCTAAGAGTTGTCACATTAGGGACTTGAATTTAAATATGACAAATGATTTCAATATAATATCATAAATATATTAGGAGATATGAGAAGTCAAGGGAAGAGATTTAGCCTAGCTGCTGGGTGTCAAGAATGGTTTTCTGGAGGAGATAACACTGGAGCCTGAGTGGGGTGGTAGGCACACAGGTAAATGATAATTTACAAAATGCAAGGTAAAACATTCCATGAGAGAGGAAAAAAGAAGCATGTGGCCTATAGGAGGGAAAGAGATTAATTCCATCTGGAGCATCCTGCTGGCACCAAGGATTTAGAGATAAAACACAATTTCTGTCTTTCAGGAACTTAGAGTTGATAAGCAGAGAAGCAGGTCAGCAAGTCATTCACAATACAGTGTGCTAAGTGAAATGCACAAAACATTATAGGTAGACCTAATCCAGACTTAAGGTTCACAGAAAAACAGAGTACAGTGGTTAAAAGGGGGGGAAAAAAGATCGAAGTCTAAAGAATAAAAAGTGAAACCTGAAAAGTGTAAGTGTATGACGTGTTTTGGGAAATAAGTGTTCTGTTGTTACAAAAAATATAGTACATGCTAGTGGTGGTGGCAATAAAAAAGAAAAAAAGACTTTGAATCCGTGCAGAAGAAGTTGAATTTTATTATATAAACAAGTGTGAAACATTGATATGTTTGTTTGCTTCTTTGTTTTCAGTAGAGGAAAGCAATTTATTTATCCAAGGAAACAGAAATGTGAAAGATAGAAGAATTAATTAGAAATGGAAATAGCATTTAAGAAGCTTATTACCTTCCTGGAATAGAAGGTCAGGCATATACATATATAACTATAATTCACAGTCAAAATAATATATTACTTCAAAAATATATAGATCAAAGATTTTGTTTATAGTATGTAAAGATTGCTTGTAGTGTCTGGAAAAGGCATTGTGGGAGCAGTATTATTTGCTATTATCCCCTTATTTTTAAGATTGGGTAATATCTTGATGCTTAAACATGAGAGAAGAGCTTTCCAAATACAGAAGAATAATCAGTCAGAAACATGAAAATATGATACTCATGTAGGAAAAAAGCTAAGAATATGTGTTTTGTGAAAGGAAATGGTGGTAATGAAATTGTAAAGAAAACTTTGCCTGAAATGATTAGTAAGATCAATGGACATTTCCTGTTGGCAGTGAAGAAACATTCTTCTGCTGACCTGACTAAGTTGTCACAATTGTGATTTAACATGTGGTGAGCATATTGAAAGGAGGAAGCGAGACCAGCCAAGAGAATACTGAAATTATTGAAGCCTAGAGATACTAAGGGACTGAACAAGGAACAGTGTGACGTTTTTGATCTAGTATGGAAATCAATTAAAAAAAATTGAAAAATTTTAATTTGATCAGATTTTAATTATGAAAAGATATTCTATGTTCCATAAGGTAAATGAGTATATCCCAAAAAAGAGAGAAGGGAAATTTAAAGGAAATTGTGTATCAAGCAGTTACAAAATAATTGTAGAAATCCAAGAAATAGAGGAGGATGTTAATCTGGAGGGTGGTTGGGTTGGAAAGGAATGGAAGAGGATAAACTTATAATACATGTTTGGGGCTGCAATTGCCAATTCTCAACTTGTATATTTAGTACGTGAATAGAAACATATGTGTAGGATGATAGAAAGCTTATAAATTTGGGATAGTGGGCATGGCTGATAGTGTTTAATTGAAGTCAATCACACAAGTCAACTCAAGTTGAAGCCATGAGAGTCATCCAAAGGAGAATAACAGTGAGAGAGAACAGAATAGTTCACTAGAGAGAAAAACAATTACATTTAATGGGAAGAGAAGGAAGAGCAGAGAGGGGAAAAAAACTGAAAAGGAATTTACCAGGGAGTAGGAAACAAAGAGAAAATGATCATCATGAATGTCAGAAAGAGAGAGAGACAGTGAGGAGGCACAAAGGAATTAAATTTCATAATTAGCAGGTCACTGGATCATTTTTGGACAATCAGAGCCTTTAGATTCTAATTCTAATGTGGCTTTCTTTCATCTCGAGAGGGTAGTAGATCCCTTGGGAATCTGATGGTAGGCATGAACCAATGGATGTAGAAACAGGTAAACACAAATACACTTTTTTCATACAGCTTAGGAGTTTTTCACAGATTCCCTTGAAATAACTTCATGATACCCACTCTAGCTTGATGAAAATGAAATATTAGATTGAGACACTGATGTACTGGCATTAAAAGTCTTTTTTCCAGATCTAGTCAGGTAGAAGCAAACAGGCATATCTACCAGATGGGAGTCGGCAATGAGATGAATCCCATACTCTGAAACTACAGGTGGAACACCACAGTTACATAAAAGCAGTAGATCACTGCTTTCTCAGATGCTGACTCCAGACACACTAAAAAGGAATCCATCAAGTCCAGGTTTCTGATCTTTTCCAACCTAACATTACAAATGGCTTCAGCTGGCCGTGTATTCTCTACTAAATCCATCTCTAGCCTTCTGGGCCTACTATATCGAATGTCACAAAGTGTAATTGTTTATGTGTACTGCTCTCAATCAAAATATTCCAGCTGGCAGCTTGAGGGAGGGCTTGAAGTGTGGGAAGAGGAACAGAATGTAAAGTGCAGAGGTACCAAAAACATGAAAAGATGTTTTTCATTTGATGATTTGTTGTTCCAGTTTCTTCTTTTTTTTTGAATCAGTAAGTGCTTTTTGGATTTGTCTCTTCAGTGCTATCTATGGCACAGCATAAAATGCGTCAGCATTTACACAGCTCGTTTTCAGGAACAGGATTTCTTATTTCAGGCCTCATTAGCATTTGACTTCAGTAAATCTACGCTGTTGGTATCCCTAACACAATCTCAACTTGTCATCCCCTCTTTTTTTATATTTATCCTCACTTACCCTCACCCCCGACTCCCAAGAAAATAGTGGGTATTCTCTGTCAATTTGGCAAAACTTGTCCAAATTTCCTGGCAATGAGTTTGTATTCAGCATTACTGATAGCTTGCTCATATCTTCAAACCATAAAGAATAACATAAAAAGATATATATTTTTTAGTTATACTTTGTGCTTTCTTGGGAATGAATGCTACTGTGATTTGTTCACGAGTTTCTTCCTGGGCTGGGCGCTGCGGCTCATGCCGGTAATCCCAGCAGTTTGGAAAACTGAGGCGGGTGGATCACGAGGTCAGGGGATTGAGACCATCCTGCTAACATGGTGAAACCCTGTCTCTACTAAAAATGAAAATAAAAAAGAATTAGCTGGGCGTGGTGGTGGGCACCTGTAGTCCCAGCTACTCAGGAGGCTGAGGCAGAAGAATTGCTTGAACCCAAGAGGGGGAGGTTGCAGTGAGCTGAGATCGTGCCACTGCACTCCAGCTTGGGCAACAGAGCGAGACTCCATCTCAAAACAAAACAAAACAAAACAAATAAAATAAATAAATAAATAAATAAATAAATAAAGAGTTTCTTCCTATGACTGTTTCCTAGCGTCATTAGCTCTGCCAATGCTTGGCAATGGTTTTCCCCTGCCCATTACTTTGCAACAAAGTACTGAACTGACCTAATAATGGCACAAATGATTGTCCTCTGGAAAAGCAAAAAATAAGAGTGTTGGAAATATTTCATCAAAAAAGTTAATAGGACACTAACATGTTCTTAACAGAACATCTCTAAGCAATAAACTTTTCTTCCTAAGCTGAGATAGATTAGATAGATAGATAGATAGATAGATAGATAGATAGATAGATAGATAATTTTTAGGGAAAGCTATGTTTTAAAATTAATGGAATTTACCTATTTTGTTTTGGCACGTCAACTACATTCTAATGAAGCTTCATCTATTTAATTCAAAACTTGATTTTAAGTGATCCTCAACTTTATCAAAATGTCATGGTCTCCTCCAATAAAACTATTTTCCTCTTATTTTCTAAACACTTTTTTGTTCCATAAAAGAAGTACCTTGTAAAGAGTTTTCTCATACCAACATTGAGGAAAAAACAAACACTGAGGATGACTAACAGGCCTTTCAAACCTTTCATATTTTTTGACAGAAAATATTTAACACTGTGCTAAAAGGCTTTTATATAAAGATATGAGAAGACAGAATTCACTGGAAGCATTAAACATATCAGCTGAAGCAAACAGACAATTGTGCTCTTCCTACGTTTGCTCAGAGAAGAGTCAAATATTCTACCTCAGGTTCTATGTCTTTCTTTAGATGGTGGTTCAACCACAATTTGAATAGGTTTGAGTTCCAAGGAAATACTCAGAATTTACGTATTGCATTTATTTAATTTTAAGAGATCTCACTGTGTTTTATGTACATTGTTGTTCTTGAAGGATACATATAAGACAGTTTTGAACAAAGATGTGTGTGTGTGTGTGCCCGCACATGCACACTGTGCGTATGTGTGTGTGTGTTTCTGAGAGAAATCTTCACCTGGAGCCAAGGGTTATAATTAAAAATTCCAAGCAACCCCTATGCTTGCTACTTGTGCTGTTCTCTCTGTCGCATACACACACAGACACACACAAGCACATACACATTTATTTAGTCTTTAGAATAGCCCTACTATTGTCCTCATTTTACAGGTGAGAAAATTAATACTTTTGGTTCATTAAGCTATATGCCTGGCTTATTTCAACAATCTAATGGGTTTGGGCTGCTCTTGGGAGTCACGTTTATTTCTGAAAATTTGCAGACTTAAGGTTTCTGAGAAACTGGGACAGTTTAGATCATTGAACCAGGTTATCCTTGAAAGAGTAATGTGACCTAGTATAATTGGGATTCCCTCAAGGTATTGCTTATAATAGTTGCAGTTCCCCAAGAGAAACTTTTAGGTTTCATTGATTCAGACTTTAATAAATAATTACAGGTAAAACTAGGGTAGTGCTAAAAATATGTTAGCCATCAACTATTTCCTTTTTAGGATTTTTTATTTTACTCAGAAAATAAGAAAGTACTGGCTACGTTGTATAGGCCCTCATACCTTTCTAATATCTGAGTGTTCAGGCTGATTACTATGGCACATTAGACCTTAGTTGGTGGTGAAATTGAATGTTGTTAAGTTTCCTAAGGTTCCTAAACAAAGATTTTAGGGAGATGTGACATAAGCAAATTGCTGCTCCCAGAATTTCTGCTTGGAATATTCTAATTATTGCCAAATCTCCGCTGCTGCAAAACCCATGTTATTTCCTACTTATCTATTAATACCCAACAAACTATTACCCCTTTATAAAGCTCTGATTCCTCCAAGCAAAGTTATTCTTCTTTGTTGTTCATGCACAGACTTCTTTCTACTGTAACACTTCCTAGGTGGATGTCTAAGAGAAACCATGAAATAGGGGCCCTGTCATATTATTCTGTATATTCCCAATGCCTTGTGGAGTACCTGATAACTGAATGTTACTGAAAATAGCAGTCTTGTTCAAATTCATGAAACAGAGTTTGGTCACTCACCAGGTTATAATTCTGGTAACAAACAAAAAAAAAAAAAAAAAAAAAGAAAGGATGGATATTCTTTTCCATGTAACACATGGAAGTCTCTCAAAATCTTGTAATTTGATTGCTTAAAACACTTATGGATAAATTGCAGCTGTTCTCTTAGAATTCTGTAACATACCTTACTTGACTTGTGGTCCACATTAAAAGTGGCAATTGCATCCTCTGTTTTCTTCCTCCCAGATTTGGTTATTACATATTCAGCAAGTTTGTTTGCCAAATAGGTCTTTCCGGTACCACTCGGTCCTGAGAGTATAATTCTGTGATGCTCCATCAACAAGTTAAAGTACCTTTGGGTAATTGGTTTAGGAATCAGTGTATCAAAAACAAAACTGTCCAAACTATTTTCTTCTACCCCTGAAAGAAGAAACAAAAGAAAGAGCATGACTTACTGTTCTACATAAGCTAGAATTTAAAATATCATGCTAAACAGCAACAGCATTGTTAGTCATAGGAATAGAGTCCTTGCAAAATAATTTCCAGGTATTTCTATCCCACAAATATGTGCTGCCATTTCAAGGAAGAAAATGTATCAGTAATATGGGAGAGTGAACATCTAAACAAAAGCAAGCTGTTTCTTTTTCTTCAGACTTCACTCCACTGTCTACTTCTTGTTTTCACTTATGTTTCCAGAGAGAAATGGAAGCATTATAAATGCTATCATCACATCTTTTATTGAAGATGATTATCTTTGTTAAGAATAAATGTGAAGATTATACATATACACACACATATATATATATATATATATTCCAATGCCTTGTGTAGTACCTGATAACTGAATGTTACTGAAAAAAAAAATATATGCCATATATATATATGTGTGTGTGTGTTCTTTCTTTTACTTTCTCTTCTCCCCATCTCTTATTCTCTTCTATCTCTCATTATGCATCCTAGTTGTGCAACCACTTAAGCTTTTGAAGAATACAAATTGTTATGTTTGGCAAGGAATTAAGAAAGGAGTAACAGGGCCGGGCGCGGTGGCTCAAGCCTGTAATCCCAGCACTTTGGGAGGCCGAGACGGGCGGATCACGAGGTCAGGAGATCGAGACCATCCTGGTTAACATGGTGAAACCCCGTCTCTACTAAAAAATACAAAAAACTAGCCGGGCGAGGTGGCGGGCGCCTGTAGTCCCAGCTACTCGGGAGGCGGAGGCAGGAGAATGGCGTGAACCCGGGAGGCGGAGCTTGCAGTGAGCTGAGATCCGGCCACTGCACTCCAGCCTGGGCGGCAGAGCGAGACTCCGTCTCAAAAAAAAAAAAAAAAAAAAAAAAAAAAGAAAGGAGTAACAGTATCTCCTTTTATGAACCCAATTGCCTTCATCATAAAATCAAATATTGACAAATTCCTCTATTAATTCACAGTTTATACAGATGTATCCTGATTCTTTAACATAAATAAACAAGGAATTATGAAGACAAAGATGCTTCAGATATTACATTAGCCTATAATTAATCACATCATCTAAAGCAAAGAAAATTCTCAGAACCTTCCATCCTTGATTCTTAACTTCTATTCCCTATTCCTGGGGGGTATTTATTAGGTACACATATTTTAAAATCAGAGATATATCAATGAATATATTACTTTGGAATATACACTAAATGTTTTGAATCCTTCTGTAATGAAAGATGATAATGAAGAAAATCCAGAAATTTGAAATTCCTAAATCACATTCCTTTTTGTGAGTCTTGAATCTTCAAATCCCAGAACCCAAAGAACTTAATTTCCTTAGATTCTAGTGTTTTTAGTAGGATTGTAGTATTTAATAGTTTTGGTATGAAATGAGTCATATTGATTTTTAAAATACTATAGAATTTTCAAATAGAAAAATTTAAAGGGAAACTGGCCAAAAAGGGGCAGGGGAGAGAATAAAATGTTGCTAAAAATTATATTTCTGCCTTTCTTTTCATTTTCATTTTTACCTTTGAGGTTCACAGTGATGATGTTATTATCTCCAACAAGGTATCCACAAGGCAGCAATTCAGGCACTTCTAGGTTATGGGATCTAATTAAGTCTCCTATACAGTAGCTAGCAATGCAGTCAGAGCTCAGACCAAGGCTAGTGGATGTATCAATTCGGAATACATATTCCTACAATGGTACACACAAAAAATAAAGTCAAAACAGAGGTTCAACTCATCTACAACAAATACATAACTCACAGGGATATAGAGCTAGTTGTCAAGAATATTAGAAATGTATAATATAAGAACTGTTAATATCAAATAGCACAAAGAGAAAGCTTTCCTTATTTGAGGAGAAGAAAAGAAGATGTGTCTATGCTATCGAAGTTAAGGGAAACAATTAAACATATTTGAAAATTAATATTAGAGTGTCTTGCACAACATACCTTAAAGAGACGTCTTATTACACCATCTAAGACATCCCACTTAGTTTTTCCACTAACACCAATGGATCCTATCAAATATGCCTGAGACTTCTGATCCTAAATAAGAACAAAATAAAGTAAGATAAAATCCAACCATGTATCTTTTTTATTACTATGTTTTCTACTAAAATTAGTTAATATAGTTGTTGTTAAGACTAAACTATTTATTAAGCCTATGGCTTCTATAGCAATAGACATACATGGTGGATTATATAAAATAAAACATATTTCAACCAACTAACCAACTAAACAAATAAAGTGACAGCAATAGCAACAGCAACAAGAAAGAAAGAGATGAGATAAAGCAGCATGTCAAGGAAAACTGATTCATGACCTGTTCTATAGAAGGCAAAGGTGAAGGAATCTGAAAGAATATTCTTGCATTATAAAGAGGTGGATACCTTCGTAAAGAGAAGCAGCTTGGTAGGAGGGAAATGGTGATAGAGACAGAACAGAACCATGTTATATGAATTCTAGAACTTTATCTTACTATTTTGTGATCTTATCTTTGGTAAGTCCAAAACTCAGTTGTTTTATTAATTTTAATATAGAATCCAATTCTCACTTTAAAATATGTTACCTATGATAATATAAGGCATTTGTATACCTACAAAACAGGTTCCATTTTGATTTTGTCAGAAGTTCTCTGTTTAAAAGACCTTGCCAGAGAAACCTACAGGATTTGTTTTATCAAGTAAGCAATTATTTTATAATAAAAATAATGGTTCCAAATCTATCTTTTTTGTAGGATGGGATTTTGAGAAGTTTCTACATATGTTAGAAAGGTAAATAATTCTGAATTTTTAGTCTATCTAGAGCCTCTATTATGATGACCAGAAATGGTTAATGAAATAGTGATTATGATTCCAGTAGATACAATTAGATATTTGACATATAATCCTGGTTCTAGTCACCAAGTATGTTATCATTAAGGGGTGGTAGAATAATCACTGAGTCATGGGTTAGAAGATATGGATTCTATAACACATAATACCTACCACCTAATTAAGAAATGTGACCTTAGGTAAATCACTTAACTGGCTCAGACCCTCAATTTCTTAATCTGTAATATTTAGCACCATAAGGGTAAATGGTTATCACCATTATTCAGGTATAATCTGAGTTAGAATCTAATACCTTTTGCAGAATAAGTTGAGAAATCCACAGCTGACAATTGTGATTTTTGTTACTATTGTTAAGAAATGATATTTGTGTCTCCTCAAAATCCATACATCGAAGCCCTGACTTCCAAAGTGATGGTATTAGGAGATGAGGTCTTTGGGAGGTAATTGGGATTAAATGAGATCATAATGGTGGGATTTTCATGATGGGATTACTGGGTAAAGTAAACAATTTGGGATTTGTAGCCTTTCTCTCTTCCTACCTACAGACACCGAGGTGAGACTGTGTGAGGACACAGCAGGAATTCCACCACTTGCAATGCAAAAAGAGAGCCCTCGCCAGGAACCAAATCAGCTAGCCCCTTGATCTCGGAATTGCTAGCCTCCAAAACTGTGAGAAAATAAATTTCTGTTGTTTAGGCCATCTAGTCTGTTATTTTATTATGGAAGTCTAGGTAGAATAAGACAACTACTTTCATGGAAGCTTTTTTAGAAAAAAAATGCTCAAAGGCACTGTCTGTTAGAATTACTGTGAACAGGAAATCTTACTTTTCAGTGTGTTTATAACCCAGTTAAAATTACTGCTTATGCAATACCTTATAAAAAGCTGCTTTTAAATTGAAGTTCGTTTATGTTTCACTAAGAGTATTACTGTCTCTCACATAAAGACCCACTTGGGAAAAGTAGGTATACATCTGCAGCTCAAGCAGAAAGCTGATGGCATTGGAATCCTTGGAACATTGACTCAAGGTAAGAATTCACAAGTGCTATCTTATTTTTCAAACTTAAGTACTTCATTTTGAAATTCTAAAGAATTTTTATTTGCTTGATGCAAAAAAAGTTGGATACTTAGAAATTTGTATTTTTGGCCACTCAACTAAAATTTTAACTTAAATTTGTTTGTTTTGTTTTAAGAAAGGGTTAGAGTCAGAATGACATTGCCAATTTGAAGGCAACATTTTAATGCAAATGTTGGACCTTGCTTAAATAGACAAGTAACATCAATGGAATTTGTCCTACTGAGTTCAGTAGAATATGTGTCTTTCTAATTTCTAGAATATTCACTTAGCTTACAGTCTTCCCTTTGTATAAATACCATGTTGACAGCTCTAGTGACATGTTACCATACATAATAAACATTACCTATAACCAATAAGTGAAACCAACAGAATATGTCAGACAAGACGTTTGTCAAAGAAATAACTATTTTTTTAAAAGTTTTAGAAATGAAGGGCTGTTAATATTGTTTCAGTGAATGAATGTGAGGTACATGTAACACATATTTCTACCTCTATGATGATGTCATCTCTTTATGGTCCCTTTCATGTTTAGATGACATATTAAGCTAATGCCAATCCACAATTGTTGTAGGATATTTACCAGATCAAACATTCACATATAAAATACATTTGACTCACGGTAATTCTCCCTGTTAGTATTAAAGAGTTTAAGATTAAAGAAGTACCTTTGCTCGACCATAGCCCTTGCTTATGGAGACTATAATTTTCACACTGCGGCCATCTTTATGTCCAGTTGCATCACCAGCATCATCTAGCAAAATATCTATCAAATTTTAAAAGAAAAACATACACAAAAGAGTAACATTAGCTCAGATTTGTTTACTGTCATTCTTTTCTCCCTCATAGTTTTATATCTTTCAATGGGATTTGCTTCCCATTCTAGCCTAACTGGTTTGAAAAACCTCGGCTTTCAAGAAGATGAATTACTGTGGTTGGGCTAAAGTTTCAATCTAAGAATTTATTTCTGCTTGTAAAGATCTTCACTCAAGTGTTGGGCCACTCACTGCATGTAGATGAGGAAATAAGAGGTTTCTTTTTCTATTACACATAGGTCTGAGTAATACCTGAATAATATTTAGTCACCATTATAACCATGACAATCTGACAAGCCATCTGATTTTTCTATCCAATCTAAAATATCCAAGCTCAATATCCATGTAATTTATAAATGCAAAGGTGCTGAAATTGACTGTCAACTGAAATTATTTTCAAGCATTTGACATAGCCAGCTATATAACTACTCACCTTATCTTTATAATTATTAGGTACTGTTATTGACTTTCAACCGTGGCATTATACTGGCATTATGATTGCTCTCCTGAATCCTTTATGCTAATAGTTTCAAAACCAAAATAGTATTTCGATTAATCAGCTAAGAGTTACAGAACCATGATAAAGCTAGCTAACCTTTAAAATATCAGCCTTTAAATGGTAATTAAAGATTAACTTTCAAAATACATTATACCAGATTAATTTCCAATTTGGAGAATTAAGGCAAACTATCACAAATATATGGTTTCCTTTAATAACAATACTATCATAGAACCATGCTTAATATTAAGACACTGTTCTGTGGATAAATGAAACTCCCTTATATGCTAAAGAGCACATGTTCCTGGTGAAAAGAGGACTCAACTGCTCTGACAATACATTTATAGAAAAAAATGTTATGACTATAGCATCATAGAAATCAACACTGTAATAAGATGGCTTCCAAAAATAGAATCATTTCTATTATCTTAATAATTAAGCATATGTAATTTTGAAGGTAAGCAATAAAAATACTCTAAGATCATAACAATTAAAAGCAACTTTCAGAGCTTGAGAACTTTCAGAACTTTTAGAGCTTTGCAATAAATTTTTAAATCATCAAAGATAATCTCCAGCACTGGAGTTTAATTATTTTCCCAAGTTCACATCTTAATAGTCTTTCACCTTTTCACCTACTCCACTCAAAAATAAAACTCTTCCTTAAGTGTCATTTTAATTACCTTGCTCCTTTTTTAGAAGTTTAGAGTGGTTTACCATTGGCTGTTCACATCTAGACTTCTGGTAGTTCATGATCAAATTACTTTAGTACTTGTCTTAATTACTTATAAATGCTCAAAAATATTTGACTAATATTTATTAAGCATAAATGGTATCAGAAATTTTGCTGTGTATTGGGAATGAATACCAAGATGAGAAAGAAAGAGAATTCATTGGTTTTTTTGGAGTATGTATTTCAGAATAGGTTATGCACTCTGCTAATATAAACTGGACAATGAAATAGAAACTAATTGAAGGGAGCCTGCTCTACATAGATAGGTCATCCTGGAAGGCTTCCTTGAAGAAGTGGTATTTGGAGGTAAGACCAGAAGGCTGAGGAATGCTAGACAAGTGAAGAACCAGGGAAAAAGATTCAGTCAACAAAAACAAGTGCAAAACCCTGAGATGTGTGAGCTGGGTATGTTAAAGGAACAGAAAGATGTTTGGGGTAGCAGGACTGTAGAGACAAGGGGAGGGTGAGGAGTGGTATGAAATGATGTGGATGGAAATAAGTAAGGACCAAATCACACATGGCTAAGTAGTCCATGGCAAAGGAGGTTGGCCTGATTGTTGATCCACATAAGCTGCTTAAATTTGCTTTGTAATATGTTATTCATTTCATGTCATATTTGCTTCTAAAAACTACACTTATAATATGAAATTTCTCCTGACAATAGTAGGATAAATATTTACCAAAGATGAGTGAATAACTATTCCTTGCTTTTATTATGTGGCTATTTAAAGCAAAATTAACATAATAGTGAAAAGTCCAGGTCCTGGATTCATCCAAGCCAGGGTTTGATTATTAGTTCTGCTGCTTACTAGTTTCATGATCTTGAACAAATTGTTATAGTCACTTTCCTAAGTCTTGGTTTCCTCAGCTGTAAAACAGGGCTTAAACAGCACCTTTCTGGTAGAGTTATTGAGAACATAAAAGATAATGCTTTTAAAGCACTTCATCCTCAGTGTTTACTAAGTTTTGCTTTTCTAACTATTATTTCTGTTTATTCTAACTGCTTCTATTGACTGTGGGCAGGTCACATCATGACTCTGAATCTCCCCAGTTCAGAATATATTGACAGGATGGTCACCTGATGAAACAACTCCAGGAAAAACTGCAAATTTGATGTGAGAGGCTTCTGTAGTTTTGTTTGTTTGTTTTTGTTTTGTTTTTTACTAGAAAATAAGTCATGGTCCTCTGTCTATATTTTGAAGAAAGAATTAAGGAGGTCTGCCATTCTGGCTATAATTAAGTAAAATTCTGGCCCCAAACTGAAGACTTCTCAAACGTCTGTCTTTACTGGACGCATGGAACATGCAATTAATATTTCAGGAACTAGATATTTGCCAATTATCCTCTCTCCTGCCTACTTTCTTTTGCTTAAGATTAATCATGAAACCTAGAAAGTCTCTCTGTTAAAAAGCCCCAGCATAAAGGCAGTTTTGATTTCCAAGTGTTGAACCCACTACACAAGAGTGAAAGTAATGAAAACAATATTCTAGTTGTGTGATTTAATTTTTTTTTAGTTCAGACATAAGTATCACTACTGAAAAATAATTAAGGAAATAAGATATATTAAAAATAACTTAGGGAATGGGTAAAAATAAAGGTATTAAAAAAAGTAAAACTTGGCTTCTCCCAAAAATTGCCTTAAATTATTAATCATGGCCATCAATGTGTTAAGCCCAATAAACATAGAAATTGTAAATGTAAACTCTCTGATTTTATATTTATCTTTATGAGTTCTATTTTTCCTAGACATTAAGTTTTTTTATGTATGTCTTTTTTCTAAACCACCTTCAGTATTAAACTTGCCTCCTTCAAATCTTACCATATTTTCATAAAATAAAACAGAATTATATAAAAGGCAGTGAAATCCTACCATTAGTCTGACCTCTAAGGTACTGGCCCTTGTCTTTCGCTAGGAGCCAAGCCTAGGAATCCAGAAATGCATTGGTTACTATGAGATGTAGATCTTACTTCACTTCTCTGTCAGGTCCATCAGCAACAAGCCAACATACAGGATGTTGTTCAGAACTGTCAGATTCTATACATTTAAACATTCGGGTTCTTTCTTTGTAGGATATTTTATTGAGTGTGGATAATAATACTTTATGTACAATTTACACACTCAAATTACCATCCACTTCCATAGTCTTATTTTACCTAATGATCTATAAGTTCATTTAAGTCTGAAATTTCTTGCTTTATACTTGACTTCTGACATACTTAATGCTTATTCTCAGAATTTATTTTCTTCCTCTGATCCCCACCAGAAGTTTATAAAATTTGTTTTCTTAAAGTACAGGGAGTGCCCACTTGTCTTTTACATATAAGATGAAGGCCATTATTTTATATTACGAAGAGCAGCCATAATAGCAGAATTTTTAACATTCTGCCTTTTTAGAAGAGGTGTGATTCATCGGAAATGTAATCAATATCAGCATGCCATGTCATTTCCCTTCTCCTTCTCCTTTTGTATTTTAATATGATTTAAGGCAAGCAGTGTACTGTCTCCATTCTATAATGGAATCTAATGTTGGCTAGGAACATACATATTATTGGTTTCCAAGCGTCATCTGGTGGCCGTGCTTTACAATTACCACAGATCCTTATGTAAATATTCCCTAGACTAAATTCTCTATCCTTGAAGTGATTCTCCTCAATGAACTGTTCCACAGAAACAGCTACATTTTATGCTTGAATGGTTCATCAGATATTAAGACGACATTAGTCATATGCTTCTATTTGCAATCAAATCAAAACTGTACCCTTGTTCCATCACTAATACTGTGTTCTTTTTGTTTGTTGGAAATTTAATAGAGCTGCAGACTGGGTGACAGAGTAGCATTATGTTCTGTCAGGGCAGTATCATGCAGGGTCATCGAGTCAAATTTAGCAAATAAAGCCTGCTACACTTACAAATGGGTTTTGCACACTTAAAACAATAAAATTGTATCGGGTTATTATTATTATATCCATAAGTACTAATTATCATCTCTGAGAGTATTATTTCTTCATCATCGTAATCATGGAGAAAGTACTTCCTAAGGAAAAGTGATTTCTTAAAAATATTATGAAGACCATATCTCTAAGATTGACTTTTGGATAGAGAATGTGCTTTTAAAATTATAACTAAGTAAGCTAGATTTATAAGATCAAAATAGGACTATTTCTGAGAATTAGAGTATTAACATTTTAATTTAAGAGTATGTAAAGTTCTCCAAATTCCAGTCTTCCCACCCATTAACTTATGGGCATGCTGTGATTCAGCAAGCATGTGCACTAAATTACCTGAGGTAACAGCCTCCGTGATGTTCAAATTATTTAGAGAAAGTCCTAATGACTGCCTGGAAGATGAAGAGGAGGTGCTGCTTGAGGATTCTGATGGTGGCCGAGTAGGCTTAGCTGTGTTACCAGTTTCTGCCTTCAACCGGTCATTTTCAGCCTTCAGTATTTCAATTTCATTCTGTCATGAAGATGGAAAACATGAAAAAAATTGAGTTGGTTTGATTGAGAAAATAGCCCTGAGTCTTTTATCTAGTTAATTAGCTTGTTTGTTAAACAAAACATGTGGTAATATATTAAATAAACAAATATATGAAATAGGATTTCCTTCCCAAGAAGGAAATTTAACCCTTTTCTCTGTCAATCCAACCATTAGACATTTTTATCTTTTTTTTTTGACTAAAGCATGTGTTTGAGAATTTTTCCAGGACTTGGTCTCATTTGAATTAAGAAAAATATGATGGAATCGTTCGTAACACTTCTCATTTTAAAGGTGATGTTAAAATCTTATAAGCATATCATGCCATTTGTAATATTATTATAAATCTGTGGACAGTTGAAAAACAGAGCAAAACAAAAATAATGTAAATAAGGTGATTTAAAATCACTCCAGAATCATATCTAACATCTGAAAAAGGTTTTTTTTTTCCTTCCAATTGGGACACTAAGCTCATAAAAAACAACAAAAGCCTTTAGATGAACATATACAGTGGCAGATGAATCTGCTTAGCAATGAGCTTTTCTTATTTCAGTCACCTGTGGTACCAAGTGATTACTGGTATACAATAATACAATGAAAACTTAGTCTGAGCACAGACTGGTTCTGAATTTAGCCTTTAGATGTTTTTTTAAAAAAATACAAAAGCTTTACTTTTACAGATGGCATTCCAAATCACTTTGACTTCCATATTCAGAAAGCTTGTGTTGAATTTCTGCAGTTTCCTCATTACTTTTGTATTTCAATAGAAAACTGGTGAAAGTATGTGAAAATCAGATTTCAAAAGAACAGGCAAAAAAGTCAAAATCAAAGTAAATGATGGAAAAGTGAAGCAGCAAGAATTGCAGTAGCTTCTGTAAAAACTTAGCTCTCAACCTGAATCCAATCACAAGTACAGTATCCTGAATGGTTCTTGAATACAACTTGCCAGTTTTCACTCCCACTTCCAAACTTGGATTTGACAAAATTCTCAATTCAGTACTAAGAAATGAGTTGCAAAGACTGAATAAACAGAGTACATTTCTAAGGTGGGTTTCCAAGCAGAATTTGTTCTGTGTTAACCAAAAGAACAGAATAAGCAGCATTTTTTTTTTTATTTGTTTGTTTCTCCATTTTATTCCTTGAAAGTACTTCAGCACCAACCTGCATCCGGTTCATGGCTTCCCGGATCTGATCAAGATGATGAGCAGAGCTGAGGGCCTCCAGCCGAATATCTGTTAATTTTAATTCCTTTTCTCTGAGCTCGCTCTTCAGCTGCAGAATTATCTCTGCCTCAGCTTCTGTGCATTCACAGATCCTGAAGAAGGAAACAAACAAAATCAGTGGTCTGGGGAAGCCAGATGATTAAGAAAAGCACTGCCTCTTTTAAAGGCTGAACTGCAATATTATCCAGCAGGTACAGATACGGTGTGCTGCTGGCAAAACCTAGAGAAAAGGAGAAAGAGTTTTACAAACAGTTATGCATTCACAGGTTCAAAACGCAAATAGCTTTTTCTTTTAATCGTTTTTTTTTTCTATTTTTTAAAGTTTAAAAACAGTCTTACCAGGTATAAAGTGATCCTAAAAATGCTTTTATTGGTGATATTTATAGGCAGAAAAGTCATAGATTACTACATTTCATTTCAACATTTTCAAGGGACTTAAACCTCTGTTTGCAACATGTGACTATACTTTTATAAAAGCAGTTATTACATTCTTAAAATGTTGATTTCTTTTGTAAAATTGTGCAAAAAAAAGTTCTGAAACAATACTGCCTTTAAGTTAGCATAAAAATCCAATATAAATATTGTAGAAAATAAATTAGAGAGATTACTTTTGGCCATTTAATAATAGGTGAGTTATATAACCTTCCTATTCGGCTCAGCTGATTTAGGAGATCACAGCTAAATCACAGGTTTCAACCCCTACTAGCAGGCTAGCTGAGGGCTGTTTGAAGGAAACACATTGTATCCTTGTGTTGTTTTATTGTTTTGTGGACAGCTTTGCAGGAAATTTGCCAAAAAAATTGTCTTATATTAACTAACATATTTTCCATTTAAAATCTGAGAACTAGTTTACTGGCCACAAAATGACAGTGATATGTTCTTCCTTTCAGCATAAATGATAAAATTATGTAGGCAAAGCACAGTGGCCCTGTTCTATATGAGTTCTATGCTAGTTGTTGTCATGAGCATACAAGGATATTAGATTTAAATAGTAAACAACACAGATAATTATCTCACCCGAACACTTTTCTATATTTGAAATGTGTTCATTCTTGTACAGTAGTCCCCCACAATTAGAGTTTATCCACAATTTTAGTTTCTGTGGTTTAAGTTACCTATAGTCAAATATGGTCCAAAAATATTACAGTATTTTGGGCTGGGTGCAGTGGCTTGCACCTATAATCCCAGCACTTTGGGAGGCCGAGGTAGGTGAATCACTTGAGGTCAGGGGTTCGAGACCAGCCTGGCCAACATGGTGAAACCCTGTCTCTACTAAAAATACAAAAAATTAGCCAGGTGTGGTGGTGCACACCTGTAATCCCAGCTACTCAGGAGGTTGAGACAGAAGAATCGCTTGAACTCGGGAGGCAGAGGTTACAGGGAGCTGAGATCTTGACATTGCACTCCAGCTTGGGTGACAGAGTGAGACTTTGTTTCAAAAAAAAAAAAAATTACAGTATTTTGAGGAAGATAGAGACCACATTAATATAACTATTATCACAAAATATTGTTGTAATTGTTATATTATTGCTGTTAATCACTTATTGTGCCTAATTTTTAAATTAAATTTTATCATATGTAGGTATACATGTATAGGAAAAAAAAAACAGTATACATAGGGCTCGGTACTATCTATGGTTTCAGGCATCCACTGGGGATGCCTGAAAGTGTCCCTGGTGGATAAGCTGGGGGCTACTGTACTACCAAAAAGTGGGCTATCATAAAAATGCTAGGTTAGATTAACTAATAGAATCAAAGAAAACTGGATTGCAGGTTGATTTTAGGAAACCAAATTTTAGTTGAAAAAACAGAAAGAGAAGGTATTTATTGTTGAAATGCATGTGAGTGATTTTAGAAAAAGCAAAAGCAAACACTACTTAGGTTAGAACCTGGATCTTTGCAGTTTTCATGCATCACACTCCACTTTACCGAGATCTATGCTTGTAGATCACAGGGCCATTTTGTCGTTTCTTTGGTGGCCAGACAAGGGGTGACCTGTATGTACATACAGTTAGACACATACATGGACAAATGCCCATGAAAAGAAGTGAGAATCATGATTCAGAAAACTGGAGAATGAGATCAAGAAACACTTAAAAGTGTAACATACGAAAATGAAAAAGAAAAATGAAAATGAAAGAAACCAATGAAGGAGAAATATGAAAAGAGAAACTAATGCTGTCCATCATTCTCAGGAAAATAAGAAAATAATTGGTACAGATATGGTTAGAACATAAATATGGCCTTCATCTAAAATTGTTTTTTAAAAATATTTCTGCATTTTGCAGAAGGAGCAACTTACGCGGAAGCAGATTGTGAGGGCTTCATGGATGCTGAGCTACAGTCACCAGCGTTATGGGGCAACTTGGGGGATGCTGGAAGGGATGAATCAGTAAGCTCTTCAATGTCGGAATGTGAGGAAGGAGGCTTGGTGGACTTTTTCTTCCCAAAGGCTTGTTTGAAAGAACTTCTCAGCTGAAAGAAGGACAGAAATTACCCTTCTTGTCTATTTGCACTTGGAGAGCTTTTGCTTTGGGGCGTTAGTTTGCAGATGCCATCCTAGCCACTGCCTGGGGTCAGTATGTACAAGCAGAGTATTAACAATTGCAGCACAGTATCTCTAAAAAAAAAATGATACCGTGTTTTGTGTGTTCATTTTATTCTTGTATTAATCCAGCGCAGCGCAAACATGGAAGGCTTTTAAATAGTGCAAGGTCAAGGGCATGGCTGTCAGAGCACTCATTTAAAACTAAGTACCTTGAAGGGATCTCCATTCCCAGTGCTTCTCTCTTCAAGGCAATTTGTTTTAAATGGCCACTTTAGCGCTACAATCAAGTCATGTCCTGCTGACAGTACAAACTTAAAAAGCAAAATGAAACCAAATTCACCTAACACTTCATTAATTGTGATTTTCTATTCAAATTTTCCAATCCCAGACTACTCAAAACCAGAATTGGTATCCCCTACAGTTCTATTCAGAAAGTGGTTTTACATCTCTTTAAAATTTGAGATTAAAATGAAAAGACACAAAGAAAAGACATACAAGGTAATCTGTTTTAAAAGGTATAAAAGCCTACTGCCAAAATGAATAGCATTCATGCCAAGGTAGAGTTTTTTTATAGATGCATGCCAAATTGTCCACGGTTTATATTCACCTCACTTCCTCTAGAGTTCACCTTGCAGAAACATGAAAGAGTGTGGAATTACAAATCAAGGGAATGAAGGCTGATCAGTATTTTAAAATATTACCTGCATAAACATTTTTTAAGACAAAAAGATATTTCTTTCATTATTTGTAGAAAGCACTCCAGTAAAATCCTCTGATAATTATGTCTGGATTTCATAAAGAGTTGTATTTACTCAAAATCTACCTTTGTTTTTTTTTTTTGGTATTAAAAGAAATCATTAACTCCATTGTTTTTAAGTTTTTTGCAGTAACAGTATCTTCCCTTCGGCTATTTAGCTATTGATCAATATAATAAATTATGTCTCTAGCAAACTTAAGGTACAGTTCTGTTAAAGTGCATTTGTATATTTCTGCTATATTCTCTTGGTTAAAAACATCAAGAAGACACTAATGTGGTTGATTTCTTTTAGGGTGAAACTATTCACACGGTAAGCCCTGTTGATTCCAAAGGCAGAAGGAGAGTTTCATGGTTTCTTCTTTCCCTTTATTGACTCCCATTCTCCTCCTTTTCCTCCAACACCACTATCAACATCATCATCATCATATCATCATCATCATCATCTTTTCACTTTTCCTTCATCTGTACCCCCACAATAAACCCCTATTTTAAGCCATTTATTCACAGATGTTATCTTATTTTTCTTTAGTATAACTCTATAGCTATACTATTGACTTTCTATAGTTATACTATAGAAAAACAAGATAACATCTGTGAATAAATGGTATTCACAAATAAATATAGTTGCTATTAACTATCCTTTTATAGATAAGAAAATTCAGGCCCCTCAAAAGGTCTAGATCTAGTGGTGATTCAAACCCAAGTTTAGTCCCAACATTGAAATGTATGCTTTTCAGTACATGCCACACCAATTTCGATGGTGAGTGCAGCATCTGAGGTGTCAGTAGCTTGAATGGGGCACTTTGTAAACTGCTGCAGATCACTGAAACCTCAAAGAAAAAGGCCTAACACATGATGCATTAATAAGCTTCTGAATTAGATGAAGGATGGTGGCTTACCCAGTTCTTCTTTTTCTTTTTCTTGGAATCAGCATCATTACCACTGCCAATACTTGAATGGCTTGTGGCACTGTTGATACTAGAAACACTTTCAGAGGAATGCTGTCTTCTGATGCGAAGATCTAGCAATAGAGAGAGAGAGAGTATCACATTGGCTCATGAAGAGTCTCGATCTGAACAAATAAGTCTTTTAGGTCTTTTGAGAGGAAGTTCTCTAAAAAAGGTCAACAAGGATTTGTACAGATAATTTCAATGCAGTTTTGGTTTTAGAAGTTTAGTACAACCATATTTGTTTTAATTAACTGAGTTCTCTACATTAAGATTTAATGGGAATCTCATATAAGTCTGCAGCCCTGGCAGTTTAATGAGTTCTGAGTTTTGTCTAAATTAAATGCTATGCTAGTGATTTTTACTGAATGCCTGGATCAAACAGCTCTTCCAAAATGATTTGTTCTGAATGATTACTTTCAAGGAGTAAATGGAAACTCATAATAGAATGAGAATTAATTGTGCCTTTTTAATATTTGTGCTTCAAATACAGTTACTAGAGCAAAATGTATTAACTTTCCATTTCATAGAATCATACCATATTAGAGCCAAAACAAACCCTGAAGTCATGTAAGCACATAATCTCACAGATGAGGAAACTGAAGTGAAAAGAAGTTAAGTAACTTGGCCAAAGTCAAACAGCCAATGAAAGGCAGATCCTCCAAAGAAAGCCTAGGTAGACTGAGTTTGTGAATTAAACAGAGGACATATTTAAAACAGTGCAATTCTTCCAATGTACCCCTACTCCCTGCCCATGACTTATTATAGAATAGTAAAAGTAACATCAATAACAAATAATAATAAAACTAGGTTTTATAATATGCTTGATATGTCCCAGAGTATCTAATTTTATTATTAAAGCGAACCACTGAAATGAGTTGAATTACTAAATGTAATTTTCACATGGTCACATAGCTGAAAAATAGTGGAGCCAGGCTCAGCCCTAGGCTGATTCTAATATCCATTGTGTTAACTGCCATGTATGCAGCATGTGGTATAGCCTTGCTTAACTTCTAAAAGCAAGCAGTGCTTCTTTAGTTAAGATATTTTGAAGAGAATAGCATTTGATATTTAATCATGTTTAAAGGTATCTATTTCTTTTATACGATCAGCTTATAGATTTATAGTTATTAAAAATAAAACAAACTGAATTTTTTCCTATCTAAAATGCACTAGTAGAGGTATTACTGAGACATTAAGAAAATTTACAAAATTGTGCTTAAGGTCACACTTGCTTTTAGTCAATTTCCATTAATATACTTATCGTCATCAAGGCAGATTAGGCAAGCAAAAAAATCTCAGTGGAAGTTGTAAGATGTCAAAATTTATTCTAAAGCTGACAAAGTTTTCATAAAACTAGTACCATAAAATCAAGTCTTTTCAATTGACTGATTTAATGAATAGTAAAAATGATCCATGGCAACAAAACTATAACTGGTTGCTTTCAAAACATATAACAAATATGTATGTATTAATAGACATGTAATATATGTATTTACATATATATGTATGTGTGTGTATATGTATATCCTCATCATCATATACATATATATCAATTAGTCTAATTTTTCTACTAAGGCAATCATGCTGAAAAATTTTATAGGAAGAAAACACATAGAGTTTTTTTGTTTAGAATCCCTAGAATTCGTCCCTTAAAATTATTTTAAAAAGTAGTGATGAGAACATTAACTGGTTTTGCATGCTAAAACATTACCAACTCCTAAATCTAAATCAAGGTATTCATGTAGGAGGTTTCAATTCAACAATAAAGGAATCTGGTATCCTTTAATCAACTATTATGGAACTCATATAAATAGACAATAGAAGAATATGTGTAGGTATTTCTTCAGGTTTTAAATTTTTGCTGAGATCAGCCATTAGCTTTTTGAAAAAGATTTCCCATTTGCTAGCTCGTTCCTAATAATTAACTTTCACAAATAGAAAAGCACAAAGTATTACAGTATTTCAGAATTTTTATTATATCCCAAATTAATAAACTGTGTCTGACTTCTTTAATACTAAAATTTTTAAAAGATAGGTAAATTATTATAATCATAGGTCAAAAGTAGTCCTTGGAGGTATCAGTTACCTTCACTTACGACTGCATTCACCAGTAAAGATTAGCAAAGCCTTAATATTAATAATATTGTGAAATGAAGGAAATGCATTTTACCGTTCCCTAACAATTTCTTTTTTAATACTTCTAAGTATTTAATTCAGTACATGGGGCATCATAAAGTTCAGTAAAGAATAGCTAACCAAATGAATATCAGCAATTCGAATGAATGGAGAAGACTATTTTTAAAGTGAAATTTTCAGGTACGTGTTTGTTCACTTGTCATTTTCCTTCTCCCATCCTCTGCGTCACCACTGCCCCAGTTCAAGCTATCAACATAACCTTTACAGCAAGCATTGCTATTGAACTTACTCATCTTCAAACCATTCTATAAACAATAGCTAGAAAAATCTTTTTAAAAGGAAAACTTCATCATCACTCCCCCACTTAAGACCTTTCAATAACTTCTCACTGTAATAAGAATAGATAAAAATCCATCTTCTAAATATGGCCTACAATCCCTCAGTAATCTTGTCAGTCCTTAACTCATCAATCGTGTTCTTCTTACACATTTGCTTAGTATTTTCCTTACATTAGTTCCATAAGGGAACTAATTTATTTTCTGCCTCAAAGCTCTTTTGAAATGCTCCTCCCTCATGACTTATAATGTGATTGACAATTATTCCTTGGATATTCACTTGAATATTACTACCTTAGAGTAATCTTCCGTGACTATGTAACCTCCAGTAGGTTCCTTGGTACCTTCCTTCCCTATGGTACCCGTTATTTTCCATCTTAGAACTTATAACTGTTTTGGTATACATGTTCAGCTTCACCAATGATCACATACATTCATTTACCTTCTGCTCTCCCACTAGACTAAAAGTTCTATGGAGACAAAGACCATATCTATTTTGTTTACCATTATATATTCCAAACCTTATACAGCATATGGCATGTGGTATCAATCAATACATAGTGTTAAATAAATCGATTCTGATTTTTCATTCACTATAACTACGTTTGCCTATCATTATTTCTAAAAAATATTTAGTGCTGACAGAACTTTAATACATGTGTTATCCCACTGTATTTGGTGTATCTTAAGGAAAAACAATTCTATATTTACACAGAAGCAGTGACTTAGAAAGCAATAACACATTTTGAAAAAAAAGGTAAAATTTTCTAGTACCTTCAACTTTCAAATTTCTTATCACAAATACTATATTTGCAGTGGATTGTGAGCTCCATGAACAAAGGTAATTTTTTAAATCTTTGTATTTTAAGATCTGATAATGCCTAGTACTTAATAGCAGGTGTTTACATATGTTTCTAAACAAAAAAAATTTTATTATAGACTGTAATTATTTATCAGACTTCATTAATGAATGTGATGCATTAATTTAGAGAAAACAGAAAACACATTCACAAACTGGTGTGTGATTTTGTGATAGTCTGGCCTGTCTATAAGACTGTTGCCTCATTCCAAATATACCTTCTAAAATCATATGTAAAAATATACATTACATACATATTTTAAGGGTCTCTAAAAGTAAATTTCAATGTGATTTCCAAATATAAATTTATATACCATACAATTACCTTAATAACCCATGGAAAGGCACATAATTAGTCTAACTGACTATTTTTTCCATGTAACGTCAATGGTCAATGTGATAAGAATCACTCTATGTTCATTACATTTAATACTGAGTTTTAATATTACAGAAATACAATCTAACTATCTTGTATACATTCAATCCTTTATAACCAGTGGTTTTTGTTACTTTTAAAACCTAGCAAATTATTTTTTAATATTTATTGGTTGATGTAAATATTAACTGGTATTTTTCACCTTAAGCATCACCCCTCCCACATTTCTGAGCAAAGACATTCCAATTTTTCAATTTCAGTAGACATATTCAGCTACCTGTTGCTTAAGATAAAAGGAATCCTTTCAGCAAGTTTCACTTCAGTGACTTGTGCTGTGTTAAAGTAAGGATTAAGCCTTTTTAAATCCCTTCTGGACCTATTTATGACATGAAGATTTAGAACATAAGCTGCTTTATTATAGCTCTAAGATAAGCTTTAAATATGCAGTAATTTTCCATGCATCACATAAATCACTCCCCCACATGGAAAGTTGCTAAATTCTTGAGAGAAGTAGCCCCTATAGAACTACTTTGTCCTTCAATTTAAGCATATCTCACTTTATGTAATCATTTTCCTAAAATTTAAATTGAAATTCATTTAAAAATTACTTTATTCTTCTTTTAAAAATTCAAATAAACCCATTTTATGTGCAAGACATCATCATGGGCATCCTGATGTCTTTCAAAAGAGTGAAAAAACAAACTCTACTATTGTAAATCAGGAAAGACATATCTTAAATAAAAGCCCCAAAGTATAATGTAATTTTAAGAAGGGAAGTATTGCTACTTCCAGAAACATATCACGGGGGACTTCATTCAGTGTAGGAATCAAGAAAGCATATTTGGGTTACCTGCTGCAGTGTCTCAAAGTTTTTATGCTGATCAAACAAGGTAGAATATTCTAAATGGAATGAATGCAATTCATAAAGAACTTATGAAGAATTGAAAAAAATTCAGGATAGCTGAAATATGGAATATACAATGCAACAACAAAACAAGAAGTAAAGTCTATATGTGCTTCATCGGGCACATAGTTGGTTATGAATAAATATTTGTTGAATAAATGAAGCTGGTGAAGAGAGATTATGGCAAGTTGAGGAGTCTGTATTCCATTCTAAAGGCAATGGGATACCTGTAGATGTGTTTCTTAATGACTGTTCTGGCTTCACTGTGAAGATTGGTGTAAAGCAGACAAGATTAAGAAGAGGAAGGCTATTGAGGGGTTTGTGGTTATGGTTCAGGAGAGAGGTGATGGATGGTGAGAGTAAAACCAGAGAAAAGTGAACAGATCCAAGAGATACTTAAGGAGTGGGATCAATAGATCTTGGTAATTTATTCAACGAGAAGAGGAGGAGTTATGAAGAATACTTAGATTTCTGGCTAAATGGAAGGATGGTGGTGCTATCCACTGAGGCAAAAAGCACTGAAGGAGCAACAGGTCTGAGACAGAAGACAAGTTAAAGTTTGGAGACATTGGTTTTAAGATGCAAAACAGACATTCAAAGATATCCACATGGAGTTCTCAGTAGCTCTATATACAGAGCCTGGCCTGCAGACCTAGATTTGACAGTTATTAGCTATTAACACATTAATAAAAATTACAGCTAGAGTATGAGATGATTTTCTATATATTTTTAAATAGGATGCATAGAATCATAATGTACAGAATCATAATGGAAGAGAGCTTAGGATATCAATAATTAACAAATGGATACAAAAGAGTGAATTCATAAAAGAAATACTGAAAAAACATTTCAAAGGAGCAGAAGAAAAACCAAAAATGTGTGATGTCATGAACATTAGAAAAACTGAATGTTTCACATAGGAAGGAATGACTATCAGCATCAAATACTGTTTCCATGTCTGTCTAATACAATCAGAATTTTAAATGTTTTACTGAATTTAGTATCATATAAGTTTCTACCGATCCTGGAGAGCATTATTTTGGTGGAGTGGAGGGAAAAGGAGCTACACTCCAGTGGTCTAAAGATGGTTGGTGGCTGAAGACATTGAAAGAGTTCATAAAATTTTTCTCAGAATTCTTCTGGAAATGAAAAGAGAGATAATAAGGCACTCATGTTTTAGGTCAGGATTTTTGAAGCTGGGAAAGAGTTGAGCATGTTGAATGCCATTGAAAAGTTTCAGGAAATGAGTAAATAGAACCAATGTAAAGGAAAAAAATGACACGATATTAATAATGAGCACTTCTTCAGTGGTGAACTCAGGGGTGGGGCAGTGGCAGAAATATTTTTATTGTTTAGAATTGCTTAAGCATAGGAATAATATAATACCTTTCGCCTGTTGTTTTTATTGTTTTAAAATTATCTACAGGAAATGTACCTTTTTGTAGGCTCCATCCAGGAAAAGTTGTTCCCAATGCCCATTGCTTGCTGTATCATCATATTGACTATTTCGTTTTTATATACAGATCTAGATTATCATACTCATTAATGGGTTTGTGTTGCCTGAAGTCAGATATGCATGTATTAACCAACCACTCCATCTCCATCTCCACTGAATCAAGTGGAGAGATGTGTATACAACTATAGAACCACATTTCGTAAGACCAATTTAAAAATTATTTGATAATGAAAGTCATTATCCTAAAATTCTAGGATTCTGACCACATTAATACCAACTTATTCATTATAAAAGGCAATGACACTGAGTAAATGCAGTTTTACTCTAATTAGTAAATAAAATAGATGCCTATTATATTGGGTGGAAATGAAACGATTTCTAAATATACCTTTGGGAGGATGGTCTGGACCATTCAGCGCTCCCTGAATAGCCGCCTGGGCAGCAGAATTCTGAGCCTTCAGCATTTCAATGGTTTCTCTTAGTTCTATAAGTTCAGACTCCTGTGAAACAAACAGAGTTTGGAAGCTTTAATACCTAGAAAGAAAAGTAAAATCTCCTTGCTCATAGTTGAATTTAAAAGGTTTGATTTTATGTAGTAACAACCTCCTGGAAGATTTGGATGCTTAGCTGAACTTGTCAAGTTGTACCTAATAACTTCTTTCTTAGCTAAAGTAAAAGAGGTGTTTGTTTGTTTTTCTTAGTTATTGTCTTATAAAAGAGAGATGAATAGTCTTTATTCTTTTCAAAGGGTGGGACCCGGAACTCACCAGTACAAAGTAAAACAGGATATTACACCACTCATTTCAGATCACATACTTACTAATATTACCTATGATTACATTAGATATTTAGATATCACGATTGCACTGTTGCATTGCATTGTATTTATTGTCAACTACAAACCTGAAGTTTTGTCAAACCAATGATTTCAGATTTTGTTTGAAGTATTTTGTGCCTGCAAAATGGATTCTTTGTATTTAAGTGTAAAACCTGGAACTTACCCCTAATTCCTATTAAATGTCATCTTATTAAATTCTGATGCCATATCAAGGTCATGTTACATTCTGATACTTTTTCATTCAATAAAACTCCTAAGATGGAGACCTAGTCTCACCAAGCCAAAGCAACACAGGAATAAAGTAAATAGAAATATATGTATTATACAATTTTTAAATAATAGTTAAATTACAAACAAAGCAGCTTACAGATCAAATTTTAATAAAGCATATACTTTCTTTTTGAATTTAAAGTAATTATAAGATATGTCCCAATAAAATACTTGCACATATTTGAACTTTCATAGTTATTTAAGTGAATTATTTTAACAGAAATAACTCATTTTTGGAAGATAAAATAACTCAGAAAAAGATAGAAAGAAAAAGAACTGAGTGTTGCTTCAGTATAGACCGAATTTCCATTAGAAGCTCAGTAACAAGTATCTTTCATGGTGGTAATATAATCCTAAAAATCAGATCTTTGTCAGTCTCTTAGAGGGGGAATTCCTTGGTAATGTATTTGTCATTCATCATTCATCATTTCCTTTAGCATCTTTGGCAGAAAGCCAAAGAATCGGGCTTGGGTTCTTCATTCTCTGGTAAATAATTTATCTTTAATCAATGTCTCCCAGAACATACATTTTAAAAAGATCATCAGCAGCGGCCTTTGCGGAAAATTGCTTCATACATGGGAATATCCATTGACTATTTTAAACTTAGACTCTTAAAAAAAAAAAGATAGATGATGCTAATTGAAGTGATATCCAAGTTTGGAATAGATACCTGGCACCTCATGTATCTATTTTCATTGCATACCTGACATTTTCCTGATAAAGAACACTTAAATTTAAAACAAACAACCAAACCTTCTTATGGACTTTCAGTAGCTTATGAGTGGAAGCATCTCTCATAATGAAAAATCAATAGTAACCTCCTAAATTTATAGATGAATCTTCAAATACTTGACTGCAATTCACTTCGACTAAATTTATTATCAAAGAAGAATATAATATTTGTGGGAAATTTCCATTGTCATAACAAAAGTCAGACCCAATTCATCATAATGACTCAGTCTCTCCAATTTTTATATTCTGTCCATTGCCAAATTAGCAACAGATTTTGCCAAAACTTAATATATTTTCCATTTAAAAATATCCCCCAAGAAATAAAATATTTACTGAAAATTTATTCTGCTCTTACTGGAAAATTTTTCAAAAAGAAATAAATGGTACAGAGTGGAATCATATAATGTAAATGTTAATTTTACAACATAAATACTAGAATGCAAATTAAATTCTAATTAAAATCAGGTTTTTTCCCTTAAATTTAAGATCAATTATGCCTGTACTATGGATTAAAATCTGTTAAAACATTTGCCTGTAGCTTTAAAGGAAAAAAGTGGTAATGAGACCTCATGTCAACAATGTCAAAAAATTAAGCTTAGCTTTGAGTTAGCTGACTTATTTCAGTGTCAAAACATTCAACTTTTCACGAGAAATCTCTTATAAAACCTGTTTTCAAAAAGATAAAATGTAGAACATTCAGGCAATGTTGCTTTTTCAGAATATCATATTTAATATGAAATAGAAAAATGATCACTTTCTAATATTAATTATCTTTTTAAAAGCAATAGATATTAACAGGTTAGTTGTTACTCAATGTGGCACAATATATGTAAAAGGAAGAATAACTAGTTAAGAAATATATCTGCTATATAACTTGAGAGAATCATATCTATGAAAAAAATTAGTTCAACCAAATTCATACTGCTATTTCTTTAGAACTTTATGAGTATAAGCAAACACCTATAAAATATTCCATAGTCTTTGATTAAAAAGATAGCTAAATTCTACATTGACTGACATAATCTGTTCAAACCTGCACTAATTATCTTTCCATATTTGCAAAATTCCTTCCTTCTCTCTCATTTCAGTTAATGAGATCTGCTCTCACCTTGTCACTCAAGTCACACCCATCTCTTTTCTCTGAGCTTTCCACAAAATTTTCTTTTTATTTAAATATCCTGCCTCACTGTTAAAAGCCATGGTAAAATGTCTCCACCCTTCTGAAACCTGTTTTCCTGTCAGAAAAAAAAATGAAAATGTGCTTCGAGACTATTTAATGTACTTTCTTTAGTTGTTGATGAATATGCTTTTTCACCTGATTTATGATCTCCATAAATATTGGGATGATTTTGTTGAAATGTTCTGGTCTGCGTTAAACAGATGTTTCTCCCTTGAAAGAATAACATAAAACTTCAACTTTATTGTATACGTTTTTTTTTTTTTTTTTTAGACGGAGTCTGGCTCTGTCGCCCAGGCTGGAGTGCAGTGGCCGGATCTCAGCTCACTGCAAGCTCCGCCTCCCAGGTTTACGCCATTCTCCTGCCTCAGCCTCCCGAGTAGCTGGGACTACAGGCGCCGCCACCACGCCCGGCTAGTTTTTTGTATTTTTTTAGTAGAGACGGGGTTTCACCGTGTTAGCCAGCATGGTCTCGATCTCCTGACCTCGTGATCCGCCCGTCTCGGCCTCCCAAAGTGCTGGGATTACAGGCTTGAGCCACCGCGCCCGGCCTATTGTATACGTATTTTTTTTTTTTTTTTTTTTGCAAGAGGGTGTGTGATCACCTAGTGAGTGGGGTACCATATAAAAAACGCCAACAACTTTATTAGTTATTATAACCAGGGAGTCTTATTTTGGATAAATCAGTGGAATCACCTCCTTTGGATGAGAACGCAGTCAGGTTTTCCTTTCTCTCTTTCCCAATAGTATTATAGAGATAAGCATAAATAATTTTAAAATAAAAACTTAACTGAGACATGGAAATTTTTCAATAGTTTATTTCTAGTCTTCATTTTTCTTCTTCATAATTATGGTTACTGTTTACATTTTTTTTTAAGCTGTATTTTTTCAGGTTTCTATAGTGCATAGAAATTGTAATGTGGCCCCCAGACGCAACTAAGAATTTTTATTTTATTTTATTTTTGTTCATAGTGGGGAGTTGGATGAGGTATATGATTAGAAATGAATTCCTGAGATAGCTAACCATAACATCATTAGATATTCTAAAATATTTTCATATAATTTCTTTATGTTGAAGGGAAAAATAGAAGATACTCAAGTTTTGAAAATCCTTATTAATCATTCAGAAAAAAAACTGAAAAAAATGTATGTGCCATCAAGATATGGATTTAAAGTCTACTCTTTCAATTCAGTCATTTTCAGTTTCTTATTCTCATTAAATACTAAAGAGAACATTGAGGCTGGGATAATTCTGCAAAAGATTTTAGGAATAAGATAATCAGATCATATTTTGTTACTTCACATTTTTCAAAAATGATAGATATTTTAAAACCTGAGAACCAAACTAAGATTTCATTTTCCTCCAATGAGCTATTCAAGATAATGATACCTCCAACACCTGCTGACCTTGTAAAGTTCTAGTTTTCCATGAAAGTTTCTCATGTTAAAGAAGCTGAATGGAGTCAGTGTCTCTTTTCACAGTTTTATGCATGTGTCTGAGACTAAACAATTCATTCAGGTCAGGCTTGAAATGCTTAAAAATAAAATGATCAAATTTTGTGTCAGAATACTAGCCTTTCCTGGTGGTCTTCCCAACCCAATTTCTTAACTATACTTGATCTCTTTCCAAATTTCTCAGTAATAAAGACTTTGTTGAGAATCCCACAAGCTTGGGACAATCTCATCAACAAATGCCATCAACTAACTTGACCTTCTAGGCAAGGCTGTTTAAATTTTCCACCACATCTGTCCTTTATGTCCTCATGTTGGCACTGTTAATCTCACACTTCCCAGCTCTAGTCTCCTCAAACAGGTCCTCCCTTCCCACTCCACCTTGCTTCTGAAGTCTTGCTAATTGTTCTACTGAAAGAACCTGACCATCCCTATTGCATCTAGTTTCAAATAAATTACATTCACCAAATACCAGTAGGGTAAGTAATTTGAAAATTTTAGATTCACATTATTCTATGCCCTAAAGATTAATGGATGCATTATCTAACTCTAGCAATATATATTTTTAAAAACACTTCTAGATGGCAACTATCATAATGTAAATTGGGGAGAGTTAATGTAAAAATCCTATTCAACTAAATTTTTAGTTGCAGCGTTATCTATTTTCAAAGATTTGGTTTCAAATTCCCTTATTTTGAAGGTTTCAATTCCTGTTTTGTAGTCACCCAAAAAAAGTTTCAGAGAGGTAACAAATGAGCAAACTACTAGGCTTTATTGTTAGGATAGTAGTCAATATCTGAGCTTCATCACTCATACAAGGGGATATTCCTCTGCCTGTTCTGACCTTCTAACAAGAAAAACCTCTCATACCCTTAACGTATGTTCTAACTGCCTTGGCATGACAGCTACAGGGAACTAATTTGAAAGTCTTTTAAATTTTAAATTCTGAAATATTGAGCTGAGAATATAGCTTTAGTAAATTTGAACACAAGGATTTAGAAGTAGTTCTGTAAGAATGTTACTTATAAAAA